TTATAATTCTCGGGAAAGAGTGAAGGCTTAATAATCTCACAATCCTTTTATTAAGACGACTAGTTTCGAGGTCTACACTTTGCACCTCATCATCAGGTCATTACAAGGCTACAAAGTTAATTTTTTGATTATGCTAAAGGTATACAATGTTTTTTAAAACTTTTAATAAATAAAACTATATGTGCATACTTACATATCACATTTACAAGGTTCTGTGCAAAATTTGGAAAATTCATCTAAATAACCAGTTTATCAATTGTATACTTAATAATATCTTCCTAACGTTTAATTTTAAAAAACATAAAACATTTACTGTAGACAATGACAATACACAGTTACAAGTACAAAACTTATTTTAAAATGAAATTTTATCTGAGAGGAATGAAAGCCAAAATTTTTTATAACATTTTTTCAAAGTTGTTTTTTCAATTTAACGAAAACACCATCTACTGGGTAAATAAGAGAGTACCATCTGTGACGGAGGTAGGCAACCAGAAAAGCAAAATATGACAAATGGGATAGTATATACCAAAGGTAAATAAAACTGTTGATTCAAATCTACAAAAATATCGTTAGGTACACATATCTTTACCTCCAATAATCTTACGAAACTATAACATTTTTAAAGATTTCTTCACTATTTCGTTTAAAACTAATAATTCTATTGGAAATTTCCTTTTAAATAATAAAGATAAAATTGATAATAAAAATAAAGCAGGTGTGTATCGACTTTCTTGTGACACTTGTAATGCAGTTTATATAGGTAGAACTTTTAGGAGTTTTGACATTAGATTAAAAGAACATTTACGCTGTCTTAGGCCTAATTCATCTGGTTTTTCACATTTTGCTAATCACTTACTTGAATTTAATCATAATTTTTCTCCAAACATTGACTTTAGAACTTTTTGAAATTCAGAAGTCTATGAAAAATAATAATTCTGGTACAATAAATACAGTAGTAGGTTTAAATTACTCACCAGTTTTTGCCGCACTTCTTCCTTAATTCTAGATTATGTTTGGTTAACCTAAAAAATTATTGGAGGTAAAGATATGTATAACGATATTTTTGTAGATTTGAATCAACAGTTCTATTTACCTTTGGTATATACTATCCCATTTGTCATATTTTGCATTTCTGGTTGCCTACCTCCGTCACAGATGGTACTCTCTTATTTACCCAGTAGATGGTGTTTTCGTTAAATTGAAAAAATAACTGAAAAAATGTTATAAAAAATTTTGGCTTTCATTCTTCTCAGATAAAATTTCATTTTAAAATAAGTTTTGTACTTGTAACTGTGTATTGTCATTGTCTTCAGTAAATGTTTTATGTTTTTTAAAATTAAACGTTAGGAAGATATTAATAAGTATACATAAACTGGTTATATAGATGAATTTTCCAAATTTTGCACAGATCCTTGTAAATGTGATATGTAAGTATGCACATATAGTTTTATTTATTAAAAGTTTTTTAAAAAAATTGTATACCTTTAGCATAATCAAAAAATTAACTTTGTAGCCTTGTATTTAATGACCTGAAGATGAGGTGCAAAGTGTAGACCTCGAAACTAGTCGTCTTAATAAAAGGATTGTGAGATTATTAAGCCTTCACTCCTTCCCGAGAATTATAAGAAAATGTTATTATTAATTTTGTTTCTTTGCTTTTGTTAAAAAAAATTAAAATAATGTTTTAATTGAGTTTGAAATTCGTATATTATAATAACAGTTTATAAATTATTTATAAAATCCTTCCTAATACCTGAGCTAAATGATCGTTAATTACTTATTCTATAAAATTATAGTTTCTTGTTACCTATACTATACTTTTGTTGTCTATTTGTCTATGTTTTCCTCACTCGTAATGTCCTTCCTGTAATCTCTCTCCTGTCTCTTCTCCTTCCTTTCTTGCATTCAAACTCTCCTCTATTTTGTCTTGCCCTCCTTCTGTTTCCTACTTCACTCCGTTGACTGCCACTGTCTGAATCACCTCCCTGGCTCGTACTGCTCCTTTCCGTTTCTAAATGTCTATGACAATTCAAAATGATGTTTTACTAACCTGACAGTATTGAGTTATCTGTCAGTTTAGACTTCACCCCAATTTTCTTTCTGTCAAATAACTTCTTCTTTCCTATTTCCTGACTCTCACTGTTCTTTTCTTCCTTTATTGGTTTTTAAATGTCCCACAATAACTCTGTGCTTGATTACTTTTCTTTAATACTCTTGTTCTCCTCAACACTTGTTTTTTTCTTGGTATATGATTTTCTTTTAATCTTCCATATTCTATTTCACTTCTTCTTATTTTAAACTTCTTTTAATTGCTATGATTTGTAATCTTCTAATTCCTCTTTTTACTTCTTGAATCCCTTCACTATTTATTTTATTTTCTGGTCTTGATCACCACTTTTTTTTTATTTCTTTCACCGCACTCTTATATCTAATTACAATGTTTATTAATATATCATTTTCAATCTCAACCAATCAGATAATTTTATAATTTATACATTTTTAATTTACCAATTTTAATACCATTTTATTCTTTTTTTAACTACATTACATTATTTTGAGGACACTTTTGATTCCTTTATACTGAGATTTCATACTAATTTTTATATGATTTTACACTGTCAATTTTCATCCCGCTGTCACCCAAATTATCATTACTATGTTGTCACCATATATCTAATATGTCATTACTTGTTGTATTTCAACTTAACTTCTATTAGATTTTATAATTAAAAACTCTTACTTCAATTTCTACCTGTTACAATACATTGTAAATTTGTCGTATTTAGTTTTATGTATATTATTAAGATAGAGATGTTACATTAAATTGTGACATTGTTTAAAAAAAAAAGATGTATTAACACTGCAACTATGCACATTTTTTCTCTAATATAATTATATTTTGTAATTGTAATTTAAACTCCTTTGATAGTTCTTTAAAGAAGAAAGCATAGCACTGCCTGACTGTTGAAAGAAAATGATTCTTTCTCTTTATTAACTCCATTGCATTCAGTGGTCATCACATCTATCTGGAAAATTGTAGTATGCATTACTAGACAAAGGAGCTTTTAACCTTTCCTTGACCTCATATGTCCCAGCTTCCAGCCATTAGACACGGATGAGTCTTCAAGATATTGATACAATTTTTAAATATATTTAAATATAGGCAATTTAAGATGTAGGTACGGTTCTTGGATGTTGTCACAACTAATATGAATTTAAAATTAAATTTATTAATGTTGCAGCATATATCTTAAATAAATTGGGTTACGATGTCTGGCTGATTAATTTCCGGGGTACAAGATATAGTTCTAATCATGATAACTTGACAACAAATGATACAGAATATTGGAAATTTAGGTAAAGTTTAATTTGCTGTTTTATATTTAAAAGTTTTGTATATAGGTACTTCTTATTTATCAAATAATCTAACATTAGGCCTAAACATAAAAAACATAAAAAATTGTAATTTATATAGAAATGTTGTGAATTTTGTATTAAAGATTGTGCAATTTGATAATAAGGTTTGAAATACTCTTAACACATTTTTTAAGATAATATAAAGGGTTTTCCAATAGTAACGCTCGATGTTTGGCAACACCGCATGACGAAATCGATAGTCACATAGGTGCTATCTTTGGCAGCCGTATTCAGTTAGTCTCTGCATTTTATTATAGAGAGTTACACGACTGAGCAACGCGTCGAAATTGTTAAAATTATTATCAAAACCAATGTTCTATTCGGCAAACGTTTCGTGCACTTCGTGCAATTTATGGGTCAACAATCGTCCTTCAGAATCCACAATTCGCTGTTTAATAAACAAATTCGAAACAACTGGGTCTGTGGCAGATCAGAAACGCAAGATCCCTTGAAAATATTGCTGCAGTTCGGGAAAGTGTGCATGAGAATCCGCAACAGTCCATTCCGCGTCGGGCTCAAGAACTTGGCCTGTCTTCGACAACAACTTGGCGAATCCTGCATAAGGACTTAGGGCTTCACCCTTATAAAGTGCAATTAACCCACGAAACAAAGCCCAACGATCATAGGCAGCGGCGTGCATTCGCTAATTGGGCGCTAGAGCAGCTGGAGGTCGATCCTAATTTTGGGCGAAAAATAATGTTTAGTGACGAGGCTCATTTCTGGTTAAGTGGCTTTGTTAACAAGCAAAATTGCCGAAAAACCCACGGGAGATTCATGAGGTCCCTCTACATTCTGAAAAAGTTACTGTATGGTGTGCACTGTGGTTCGGCGGAATAATCGGTCCATATTTTTTCGAAAACGAGGAAGAAGTGGCACTTACTGTCAACGGTGGGCGATACAGAGCTATGATAAGAGATTTGTTTGGCCTGCAGTGGATGAGATCGATCTAACAAACATGTGGTTTCATCAATACGGTGCTACGTGCCATACGGCACGTGATACACTGACACTATTGCATGAGAAATTTGACGATTCCGTTATATCGCGAAATAGTGGCGTTAAATGGCCGCCCAGACCTGCGACCTAACGCCACTGGATTTTCTTCTCTGGGGCTTTCTAAAATCCAAAGTCTATGCTGACAAACCGCGGACGGTTGCCACATTAAAGACCAACATTAGGCGCGTTATTGCTGAAATTGAGCCACTTTTATGCGATAACGTCATCACAAATTGGGTATCTAGGATTTAACAAGCCAGGCAAAGCCGCGGCGGACATTTAGCTGATATAATTTTTAAAACATAATGTTAACACATGTACTTTATAATAAAAATAAAAATAGATCACTATCATTCTCACAATTTGTTTTATTGCGTTACAAAAATCGAGCGCTTCTAATGGAAAACCCTTTACATAATACATCTTTACACAAGTGTGTAAAAGTACATTTTGTAGTTTCCATGAAATGGGTGTCTATGATCTTCGAGAAACATTGAATGTGGTGTTTAAAGTTACCCGCCAAAAATCAATTTATATTGGATATTCAATGGGAAGTACTATCAGTTACGTGTTTGCCAGCACGTATCCTGAGGAGGCTTTCCAACTTTTAAAAGGAATAATATCTCTGGCTCCTGTAGCTTACTTGAATAATATCAAATCAGTACTTAGGTATGGTGCACCGTACTGGCCAATGATAAAAGTAATTTTTTGGTAGATATACGTTTCAGAATGTTTTATAAACTATTTTTGTAATGTTTCAGCCGCCAGTACAGTTTATTTGGAAAGGTAAAGTGCTACCTAGGAAAAAACATACGGGTAAATTTTGTTCTAAAAACCCAACGAAAATGTACATATGTGAATTTATAAAGGTACCGATATTTGGAGATGATTTTGATCAAATGGATCCTGTGAGTTATGTAAACACATATTTAATAGAAATGTATTATTCACATTTTTGTTATTTATTCGGGTATTCGTTGGAAATATACCTACACAAAAATATCTGTGTTGTAGTTATATCGACCCGTCACCAACATCTTGAATCCGGATACTATTGGTATCAATGTGGTCACCCACTTTGATCAAATTATTATTAGTGGCAAATTTCAACAAATGGACCACAGAAAAGGAAATGAAGTTTTATATGGAACGTCAACACCACCACTGTACCAATTGTCAAATATTAATGTTCCAGTTTCTCTTTTTGTGGGTTTAAATGATTGGGTAGCCACACGAAAGGTTCGTTCGATTTTTATTGGATTTTTCAAATATTAAAGTACGACAATCCCTATCAACATTGGATAGTATGTATCATGTACCTAAAATATATTTTTTTTATTTATTTATTTATTTGAAGAACAGATGCTCAGACAGGTACAAATCCAATTATTAAAGGGCAGAAGAAACAATAAAAGATTACATAAAAAACATAATAAATGAAAAACAGATTTAAAATTAAAGACAAGTAAAATATTTAAAATAACATATAAATTGATGGACAGGTTATAAATCTAAATTTACAGTACACCACCTTACAGTACTAACGGTACAGTTTAAAATATCCAAGTAACTTTGATAATTTATATAATGTGTACACCATTTTATAAATTGGAGAATATTTAAGAACATTATTGAACATTGTACTCAGAATGTCAGGGTAATTTACGTACGAGGGCAACTGTTTATAAGAAAAAGTATGGAAAAGTAGACCCCACACAAGACTAATTATTTAAAGTTAATTGTATTTAACTGGTCTAACTGGGGAATACCCTGAGGTAGGTAAGTATGATCAATTCGAAGACTAAGATATTTAACAAACTTCCTCTGAACCTTTTCCAAGTTAGAAATGTGAACCTCACTTTAAGGATTACAGATAACCGATGCATATTCTAACTTTTGCCTGATAAATGCATTAAAGAGTAGTATAAAAAAGTCCTTAAAATTTCAAGAATCCCTCATAATAAAACCCAAATTCTTATAGGCGTTAGATATAATATACTCGATATGGGAAACAAAAGTTAATTTGGCATCAAAGGTAACACCCAGATCTTTAAATTGCATGCAACTATTTAAAATAATATTATTTATATCATAGTCAAACTGAACAGCAACTCGTTTTCTTGTAAAACTCATAACGTTAAATTTGGAAATATTTTAAGGCAACTTATTCTATTTCCACCATAGGTATATTTATTTTGTTAAAACAAATACAACAATCTTGAAATGTATCAACAGATCCAAATAATTTCATGTCGTCAACATACATATAAGAGGGTATGTGTCTGAATAACATTAAATATATCATTTATAAATATAATAAATGAGAGAGGTTCAAGTACCGAACTTTGCGGAACTCCAGATGCCGCTATAGCTCCGATAATGAACATTTAGAATTATGTTACTTAAATAAGATTTTAAACATTTAAGAAAATCTAATGTTATAATATACGAAAAACACATTATTTTGTTTTCATACATTTAAACTAAAAGCCATACTTTTTTAATGAAATATGTTGAAGGAAGGAAATATAATTGTGTTATGTTAATTTTCAGAGTATCGTACTAACTTCAGGTTTATTTTAGAATGCTGAGCAGCTTTGTAGAGAATTGATCAACACTAAATGTAATATCAGATACATTGATCACAAAAAATGGAACCATGGTGACTTCGTTACAGCCAAAGACATCAAACCATTATTGAATGATCCAGTGGGTTTAGAAATTTATAACATTGAATTATATTGGAAAGAACATGTAAGCCAAGAAAGCATGACCAACTTGTTGTAGTCATAAGATTTTATTGTACTGTAAAAATACTGTTATTAAATTGTATATTAGTCACATTACTGTAGTATACCAATAAATGTATGACAAATAAATAAAAATAAAACAACAACTTTAATATGAAATCGCACATTACGTACCACCCGACCGTACCATCGCCTGAAAGAAAATCCGAAAAGGGAAACTTTCAGTAAACGAAAGACATAACTTCCTGAAAGTCCAAATGTATAAGTGTACCACACCATACGATATAGAACAACATATGAACAACAGGAAGTTAATGGAGAAGGAAAAAATCTAAATATCAATGTAGACTAAAAATTTAACGAGACACGATTTATTTTTGTTCTGCGTTTTATATAATTTTGTAAATAAACCAGTAGTCTAAGAATAAGCAAATAAATGGCTTATTGTTTAATTTTCAGTTAAGATTATTTTCTATAATCTTTATTTTTACGGAAATTTTTAACTAATCAAAAAGATATGCATAAATACACTGAGGTCCATTTTGCTCCAGGAAATTCCTCAATCTATTTTTTGATTACGATTACGATTTTTTATAGATATGGTATCTTCTAAATATACTTGTTGAATCAATTGCAATGTTAAAGTTGATAATCTATTGACTTCTGCAGCAATAATTTGGCATTTCCAATGACTCCTAGATTTTTTAACTGAAACACAAACTTAACTTATTTAAAACTATAAAAGCCTATATAAAAAGTTATTCTACATTATTTTGAGATACTGAAGTTTGTATTGACGTTGATTGCATCGCTTCCAAAAAGAAAATAGAAGGGGGCATCTATTACTAACTGAGTCGTCGTCAACAATTACGTCTAGAAAACGACAATACTGGACAATTCGTAACTTATCAAAAAAAAATTCAATCAAATATAATAGTGCAAAAAGAAATCAAAACGATATTTCACTTGAATTTGGTCCTAATACCTCCTAGCGCAGTCAATAAAATATTTACAGAAAAAGTAAAGAATTTGACAAGGAATAAGTATAGAAGTAGAATAATAAAGAATAACGAGCAGAAGTATAATTTATTCCAACTATTTTATTTTAGGGAGTGGCATGTGTCTACCAACACATAGCATTAATTTGTACTTACTAATCTATAGATATTATGATAACATCAGTAGTCTTGCACTAATAGATACAAAGCAATATTTTACGGTAGTAAGCACTGGGTGACATGACGAATACATTGTTCATTGTCAAATGTCATTCACTGAGTTAATGACATTTAACATATGACATACTCTCAGAGTAATTGTTCCATAATATCTTTGGTTAAAAAAAAATCATACTTTCGTGATATTGCGACGGCCATTCATAATTTTACACACATTAGCTTCATGAAACGAATTGCCCTACACTTGCACGAAGATTTTCTTCCACAATATTTAGAATTTGTTCATCGGTTGTTATATGATATGGACGGCTACGTCCTCCTTCTTTTCCACAATTCGGCAGTAAATTTGCCCTTTCACTCCCTACTACCCTGGTACAAGTGGCAGCATTTGGTACGTGGCTACCAGAAAAACGTTCTGCATACAAGCGCGAAATTGCTAATGCATTTTTTTTCTTCGACATAAATTAAACCAGTATCAATTAATTAGGCATTACTATAAACATAAGTCATTTTGAATACTTGAAAAACTGATGCAAATAATAAACCACAGTAATAAGAGCACTATGAAAACCGCAGTAATACCAACTGAATATAGAGGCATTTACCAATCAAATCGGCTGAAGCTACCTGAAGGGTAGCGCACAAAAAACTTAAACAATAAATGTACTACAGTTGTCTAGCGATTTTAAATATAACAGCTTAAATTTTTTTGTCTCGAAATCTGTAAATATTTACTTTTTTAGTGATATTGATTCCATTCCAAAACGTTTGGATATTTTGAAAAATATTGGAATTAAGCATTTCAAAAGTAATCCTACTCCTTACTGGAACACATTGTATATTTTTTCTCCTTTCCATATTTCTCCTTTTAGGAACATTTATTTTAAAATCAAAGTTTCATTGGACAGAACACGCATAGAATTTTCCAAAGTTATGTTTATTTAAAGTAGAGAAAATAATATAATAATCAGTAATTTGTTAAAAGGGAATGTAGTTAAGCTGCTATAATTATTTAGAATTTAACTGTTACGTTAAAATGAGGAGTACTTATTATCACAATTGCATATATCTAAAAATGAAAGTTGTGATAATTTAAATGAGGCTACTAATTTATTTTATAATATGCTTAATGCTTTCTATCTACGACTATTTAACAAAATGGTAGTAATTGGCATGATAAAGGGGATATTTGTAACTGTAGGTCTAATAACAGCGCAGTATTATTTCCCATGAAGTACGAACAACTTCAGGAATAGTCAAGAGAATGTTTTCTTTCTTACTCTTCGTTTTATTTTCATGCAGCAGTTATATTTACTGTATAGAAGTTTGTGAAGATTTCAAATATTATGTCAAACCTGACGATAAACATTGTCACGATAATCCTGACGGTGAAAGAAATTTGGTAAGAGCAATAATATCGCTATTTTTAATTTCAGAAAAAAATATTTATAGACAATCCAGAAATAATAAGGAAAACTTGCTAGTAAGGGTATCCCAAAATTCACGCAGGAAGTTATTTTGATAGAAAACACAGATTTTTAATTAGAAATTGTAAATTTTTTATTGATTCATAAAGTATACAGTATAGGGTACTGTATAGAATAGCATATCGGATAAATATCCTCCACGGCTTTGTTGGTACATACGCACTCTTTTCTCGAAATTTTCCATCACCGTTTTTCATAAATGTGACTAAATTTCGTTGATACAGCACTCACTTTCCTCATTCATGGCGTAGGTGGTCGTGGGCTTGTTGGAATAAACCTTAGACTTCAAAAAGCACCAAAGAAAAAAGTTCAACGGCATGATCTGTGCGGCCAATTCTGATATCAAAACGGGAAATTACACGACCAGGAAATGACCCATGCAATAATTAAATTATTTCTCGGGTTGTATGGCATGTGGTTCCTTCTTGTTGAAACCACATATCATCTACATCCATAACTTGCAAAAAACTGGATTATCATAATGCGATAGCAAGCACCATTAACTGTTATCGCCTGACCAGCCGCATTTTCGATGTAGAGTGGTTCCATGATGCCTCCAGCCTAAAATCCGCACCAAACAGTAACATGTTGTGTATGCATTTTTTTTTCAACAATCTCTAGTGGATTTTCTGAACTTCAAATACCAAAATTTTGTCGATTAACGAAGCCATGAATATGAAAATGAGCCTCATTGCCGAAGATGATATTTCTGAACTGTTAGCAATAATCTCACAACTTCGACGTTTTGTGTTGAACACATGTTCATGGATGGCTAGAGTGTTTTAGATTAACAATTGATCCAGTCTCCCTCAATTTTTCAATTATTCTCTTCACAGTTGATGAAGTTAAATCACTTTTCCTACCATATTTTGTACGAAAATTACGAACTGTTAAACCTTCATTTTTTTATATACAGGGTGTTAATTAATAGGTGTTACAAACGGATATGGGATGTAAAAAATCCCAAAATAAGTACAGTTTACTTAATAAACATATGTCCTAAAGCGGCTCATTTTCGAGATACACGGCGTTGAAATTTAAAAATAATAAACTATTTCTTCCTGTAGCTCCGGTATTAGTTAATATTTCTTTATCAAACTCAACAGACAGATTTACTAGCTTAAAGGATGCATAAATATGGCAGAAACCATTTATTGGCTTCTTCTAGTGGCGTGCGATAGGTGTCGTTTCACCTTTTATCCCCCCTAAATTGTGCGGCACTGTACAAATATTAGTTTTTCGTATGTTTTTGAATTTGCTAGTATTTTTTACGTAAATAATGTATACTTGTTAGACTTCCATAAAATGAGTAATTATCAAGTTATTAACATTTACATTACTGAGGTCACCTTATGCTCCAAAAACCAAAAATTTTTAAAAAGTGACATGTTGAGTAAATTTTTCACGAAATTGTTTAGTAAATGCATACATGTGTCGCTTTTTCTTTTTGAGATACAAAACATTCAAGGTTTCCGTATTCCTCAAGCAAGTTTAAAATGTTGGAAAAAAAACATTTGCCGTTGACATTACTATGTATTTTAATCAAATTAGTCAAATTATTTTCGGTTGTGAAACGAGGCAGTTTTTAATTATTATTGTTATTTTAGTGTAAAGTTTAGTTTGTAAGTTTTAATTATTAGATAGATATCTTTATCGATTCGTTTAAAACATTCATATATCATGAATGAATATACTTCTGCTGATTATGCAAACATGGTATTAATGTACGGCCAAGCGCGTTGTAATGGCAGGGCTGCCCGTCGGTTATACTCAATCCGATTTCCAAATCGTCCAACCCCTTCACATAAGATATTTGGAAGAGTGTTTCGCAGGTTGCAGGAAACAGGAACTTTTACAACAAATAGGGTTAACTGCGGGGTAAGGAGAAACCGCAGAACGATAAGGTTCGAAGAAGAAGTTCTTAATAGGATAGAAGAAAACCAATCCACCAGCAGTCGAAGTATTGCTCAGAATTTGCAAGTAAACCATGTAAGCGAGCAATAGCTTCACGCTTATCATATACAAAAGGTTCACGCTTTAACTCCCGCCGACTTTCAGCCACGACTAAACTTTTGCCATTGGTTTCTTCAACAGTGTCAGTTGCAAGCAAATTTTCCGCGGTTTGTGCTTTTTACAGACGAAGCATCCTTCACACGAGAAGGGATCTTTAATTCTCGCAACAACCATGTCTGGGCTGAAGAAAACCCTCACACCATTCGCTCCACTAGATTTCAGCAGAAGTTTGGCGTCAATGTCTGGGCTGGTATAATTGACGGGCGCTTAATTGGTCCGCACCTTCTTCCAAATCGTCTTACAGGTCCTATTTATTTAACGTTCCTACAACAAGTACTTCCAGAATTATTAGAAAATGTGCCATTGAACATTCGACAGGAAATGTGGCTGCAGCATGATGGTGCGCCAGCGCACTTTTCGCTTGTTGTCCGAGATCACCTTAATCAACAATTCGGTGTAAGATGGATTGGCCGTGGAGGACCTATGGCGTGGCCACCACGTTCCCCAGACATGACCCCGCTTGACTTTTATTTGTGGGGCCATATGAAGAGTCTAGTTTATGAAACTCCTGTTGAGTCAGAAGAAGATTTGGTAGCACGCATTCTAGCTGCAGCGCAGGAGATCGAAACGACGCCTGGCACTTTTGACCGAATGTACACAAATATGCTTCGAAGAATTAACGCTTGTATCGCTACTGGTGGCCGTAATTTTGAGCATTTACTGTAATTTTTTTGTGCAAAATAAAAATACCTTTTAAACAACTTTAACTTTTTGTATCTCGAAAACTAGCATAGCATAGAAAAACATAGTTTTTGGAGCATAAGGTGACCTCAGTAATGTAAATGTTAATAACTTGATAATACTCATTTTATGGAAGTCTAACAAGTATACATTATTTACGTAAAAAATACTAGCAAATTCAAAAACATACGAAAAACTAATATTTGTACAGTGCCGCACAATTTAGGGGGGATAAAAGGTGAAACGACACCTATCGCACGCCACTAGAAGAAGCCAATAAATGGTTTCTGCCATATTTATGCATCCTTTAAATCATTAAATCTGTCTGTTGAGTTTGATGAAGAAATATTAACTAATACAGGAGCTACAGGAAAAAATAGTTTATTACATTTAAATTTCAACGCCCTGTATCTCGAAAATGAGCCGCTTTAGGACATATGTTTATTAAGTAAACTGCACTTATTTTTGGATTTTTTATATACCATATCCGTTTGTAACATCTATTCATTAACACCCTGTATATTGCTCAACAATGAAAACACGTAGCGCTCCATTTTTAATATCCCTGGACTGTCAGCTATCCCGCTATCTATTTTTTTTTGTTTCATACCACACAATGCCGCAAAATTGAAATCTTGCGTGAATTTTGGAATACCCGGTGTAAATTTAAAAAAAAAAAAAATAAGTAACCTAGCAAAATTGTTTTTGACCCATGAGAAACAAATTCCAAAGTTTGTAATCGAAAGTAGTCTTTTGTAGTCACATGCTATGTTTTTGATAGGAATTTTAAAGAAATATTGAAAACTAAAATACCTCAAGCAAAATTAACTCACAACTCTTAAAGGATTTTAATTTTATAAAAGTTATACAAAATATAATTTGGACTGAAAACGTTTCCAAATTAAAAATTAATAAATTTTACCGCTAAATCAGAACCCTTCCTCCCTTTTAGATAAAACAAAATTCCAAATAATTCTAATAGAATCTTCGGAAGATTTTTGCAGGTGTTACCCAAAAAGGAGGATGAATTGATCTACAATTATTTAAAACTGCTATGAAATTTTATCTTCGCAGCTAAAAAAATTAATAAATGTGATGTATTTAAGACAAAAAACATTTTAACTTATAAACAACAGAAAAATTGTTTCAGACGGAAATATTAAAGAATTGGAAGGGCGTTACAGTCGAAGAACACAATATTTTCACTAAAGATGGATATCAGATTTTGATAAATAGGGCATATACCCATAAGGATAAAAATCCAGTTGTGCTGGGGCCCGGCGCATTTTTTACGACCTTAGCATTTGCCAACAGAGGAAACAAGTCTCTAGGTTTGTTTTTAATAAGTGAATAATACTCATACTTATGTAACTAATGCAAAAACCAAGCATTTTTGGCATGCGACGTGGAAAATATTGACAAAAGGTAGAGTGCCAAAAACAGCTTTTATCACAACTTTCATACAATATTTTTTCTACAATTACTAAATAAGCTCGTAAATAATTGAATTCTAAAACTAAAATCCTATAAATATAAAGCAATGGCAATAAAAGTTTAATATCCAATACTCTGTCGTTTGTAGTCAAAAACATCCCACAAATGTTAGAAAAGTATAAAGGTTATATAGAAAATTCTAGAAAATATAAAACGTAGCAAAGGCGCAAATTAGAACTTATCCGAATGTTTCGAGAATAATTATAGTATTTTTGAAAATATTAATACATCTAGTTGTTATAAAAGTTTGTATTTTAGTAATTTTACTTTCTCATTTGCGTAATTCTTTGTGCAAACTACTTTTGACTTATTTGCGTACTAAAATGAATCTCAAAAAGCTGTCATTGTAAAGTGATTATAGAAAAAATAAATGAGCAGTAAGTTGTGATTGCAGCAGTCTTCACCATTTCATTTTCAGGAAAAAGTACCAACACTAAAAAATCGGTGCAAGTGAAAGCAATAAAGGTACGAAGTGAATCCATTGAGTGAAATTATTGAGTACATTTTCACTCGATATTGAGCATTTTACTCATTGGTGATAATATTTGAACCAAAACTGAGTAGTTTCACTCAAATATAAGGTACTCCTTAAATAAATTCTCCAGATAAACTCGTATTTGGTACACTTGTACCTAAATCGGAGTAAATATCCTCATTATTGAGTGACCCCACCCGATTCTATGGTTGTCGTGCGTTGTCTTTGTGTATTCCCATCGTCCCCATTAGGTCATCTCGTGGCGTGGTGTATGGCGTGTAGTGCTGGATAAATATTCACTTATCCGGTTATTTTGGTGACAAATGCAGTGGTTTGATTACAATAATTAAAAACAATATATTGAACGCGAAGCGCAAATGGCTCCATATGTCGTGCGACACTATAACAGCTTAATCGTTCGTCGGTTGTCTCACCTATGACACACTGATGAGGACTAATAAGTCCGAAACCGGCCTGTGCCTGGTGGCTTAGACTGACGAGCGATCCTAGTTGTTGCATTAGGTATTGCGAGTGTAATTCAATGCCGGTCGGGGCATATAGGCCGCGGAATAGTTGTTTCTCGCAACACTGGCAATTTAAAAACAATATATTGAGTCTCGATCGATATCTCGATCGGCTATAGAAAATAAGTATAAACAGTCAGAATAAATTCAGGCGAGAGGAGGACTTAGAACTACTTTCGGAAAAGACTACGACGTAAAAATCAAGAACCGGAACGTGGCGGAGTAGTGATCTCAAATCATGCACTAGATCGTGAATAGACTTAAATTTGTACTGAACGTCAAGAAGTAACTATTGACATCTATCGATATCTTCAAAAGGTTGCTGTATGTAAATGAATAAATAAGTAAATGAATGTCAGCCATTGTCTGTACTAGATTTAACAAAGTTGTATTGCGATAAAGAAAATGTTAGCTAAAAAAACAAAACAAACAAACAAACAAAAGGATATGGTGGTTAATCTTGTACTTCCCTAAACCTATGGGTTTAGGTTTACAGTAATTAAGAAAGTCGGTGGGGGTACAGGAAGAACTGATACGTAGTAGATTATAACAATATTTATTAATCGATACCAATGACAATTGACATTAATGACGGCTTACAAACGATTTCTGAATTTTCGAACTATGGGGTGACGCTCATTGTCTCCAATCGCTGTGAGCAAGTAGGTAGAGGGGATAGTCAAACATTTGCGAGCGCTAGTAGCGTCAACTTAGTGAACTTAGGTCGGAAATTTAAAAGTCTTCTGCATAAGGATTTTTTTAAATGGGACACACAATTTGTTGTATCAAAGATTGTAAAAATACCGGTTACAATAGTGACTGTGTATTTTACAAATTCCCTAAAGCTACTCATAAATCGGATCAACGACAAAAATGGATTGATGCAATTAGAAAAAAGTAAGTAAATACAACGTTCAATTTTAAAATAGACATTGATTGAAAATGTAAGTTGTGACATGTGGATCAAAATTAATGTTTAAAATCTATCTAAATAATAATTAAAATTTTATGTTGTTGTAGGTAAAGCATTTAATCATGCGCCAGGATGATTACCTAAAAAAAGTCATGTAATTTGTAGTAGTCATTTGATCACTGTTTGATTGAAATACTCATTTTTCCAAAACTAGAAAAATAAATAAATAAATAAATAAAAAGCATTGCTATTTAGGCCATACTTTTAATCATTTGTTTATTTATTGCAAGTATAATTAAATTTTGGAGGGTAAATTCTCCTATTCTAATATTCGCAGTCAACATGATCACAAAACGAAGTGCAACATTTTAAAAATAATTATAATGAATAAAATTGTTTACTTACTGATATTTTCCATAGACTACGATCTAATAACTCCTTTGTTACGTTAATTAAATAAAAAGTATTAACTATCATTTGTATTTGGCATATACTCTTTCAATACTGTCACTTTAAATTTCCGACAGAAGTTGTAGCTATAAAACCGCTAGGTGGCGATACCAGCGAAGCTCACAGCGAGATACAGTAACAGATATCTGACCTTAGATCCTTCAATTTAGTTCTGCCGGTAGTTATCTACGATACGGACGAACTGGTGACAAGGGGAATACGGCTAACTCTGTAGTGACTACTTCTTCTACTTTCCTAGATGATCTGGAATGTCAGTAATCTCTTGGAATAATAATTTAATGTAACACAGAAGCTGATTCTTCAAGACTCCTGATTTCCTTTTTCTCCTATCAATCTCTTGACTTTTCTCCTCCTGTTCCAACACACCCCGCCTCCTATTCCTCGTTTTTCCGCCGACCTCGTACTCTCGCACTTCACACCAATCACCTAATATATATCACTAGTCTATCTTACAACTACTTATTACTTACAATGGGGTATTGCGACGGGCGCATTACAATCTTTAGTGTAATAAGTTAAGAAAAAATTTTTGTCAATTTACATTACTTATTTCTAGCACACCATCTCATACTTGAGGGTCACGACCTATGGATAGTCAATTTTAGATCAGGTCCTTACAGTAGAGGGCATAAAAGCCTTAAAGATACAGATGAAAAATATTGGCAATTCAGGTATTGCAGCAAGTAGTTATTCTGTTAATTTCTAATAAACTTTATTCTATTATAGCCTTTACGAAATGGCGGTATATGATTTGGACTCTGCTTTGGAACTTGTTATGGAAAAAGCTGGCAAAAAAGGCATTTACATAGGACATGGAGGTGGAAGCACAATAGGATACATATACAGCTCGGTTAAAGTAGAGGCAGCCCAAAGTAATTTAAAAGGAATAATTGCATTGGGACATTTGGCTTACATGGATGGAACTAAATCATATTTAAGGTTTCTTCTGCCACTAGTAGATTATCTTAAGGTAATAATTTATTAACTGATATTCTTCAATTTGCAATCTACTGAAGAACACCGGAAATAGTAACTATGTTTTAGATTGTTTTAATATTTAATATGTAAGATTTTATTGTATATTAATTACATTATTATTAGTTACTTCACAGGCAGTCATTCTGAGACCATTAATCACTAAATATCGATCATTCGATCTTTTGTTTTTACAGAAACAAAGCATGTTATATTTTGCTTCATTTTATATTTCCTTTTCTGAAAAAAAAAAAAAAAAACTGTAATTACTTGTGAATGATCAGTAATCTATCATGCAGAAACAAATAGTTAAAGCTGAAGGGCCATTTGTGGCTAAAATAAGACGACTGAGTACTAAAATCAACTATTTGGACTGGGAAATCTATCATCTTATTCGAAGTTTGATTTTTCTAGTATCGAAATTAGAAATACCATCTTCATTGGAATATTATGAATTTTTAGAAGACAGTGGAAGCTTCAATTTTATTCTGAAATTCTAATTTATAATGAAATGAATTAATATTTTTAATAGAAACATATTGACAAGATTTGCCATTGAAAACTGCTTTAAGTACGTGTATTGCTCGTACATTTTGAGCGAAATACCAATAGATTACTTCAATAATTTCTTTCCAGAAAAGGAAAGATAAAATGAAGAAAAATATAGATAATAAGATTCTCCGTAGTAGAAAAAATGACACACATTGAGATTAATATGTTCTGAGCCTAAAAATAGGCTTTATTGGTCGGATTTTTTATACACGTTCAACTGAATGATTTTTCATACTTTAAACTAATGTCAGTTTTCAAGAAATGGGATATTTGCAAATACACCTAAGAATCGTAACGTGTGGGAGAAGCTGCTCGATATACTTGATTGCATAACCCTACCCCAATATTTTTTAACCCTCTAAACTCAAATTTGAGGCTAATTTGGCACTAGCACCCACCATTTACAAAAAATTCAAATAATTGTTTGCGGATATTTCTTTTAATCCCATGGTATATATTCGTCTACACTACTTATTTCATTAGCATCGCTCTCCTCGTAATATTCCTTCTCGTCTTCCTCTTGTCTCAAAAATTTTCAACTCCATTTTCAGTAATATATTGTGGCACTACACTCGTAGTGCTTCATCATTTTATCATTTACTCCCTAGACATTTCTGTTGCGGAAGACCTTATTTACATTTATGCATTTTATAGCATACTCACGAATAACCCATTCTTTGAGAACTTGGAGGACACTTCCTGAAAAATGGTGGGTTATGACGTAAAATTGACTTCAAATTCGTGTTAGGCACGTTCGAAACATTTTAGCATTTTTTGTATGCCTGTTATATTATTACTACATGTTTAGAAAAGTCAATAGAAAAATCCCTTTTTTGCGAATAATTTAACAATAGAGAAAAAGCAATAAGTAAAAAATAAATATTGATAAGTAATATGAAACTAGATATACTTGATATACTTTTTTAATACGTACCAATATATCATATTCTAAATACAAATATAATATAGTATTTCGTGTTTTACACTGTAGTTCAAAAATTAATCAAACTGAACTGATACAAAAAAATTTGTTCCAAAACGGTCAAAACTGTTAAAATATTTGTCATTTTTTGCACAGGATGTTCAGTATTTAGAAAAATATTGTTAGTCGCCGAGAGTAAAGTACCGTTATTTTTGACAATATCGAAAAATATTATCAGGGATGTCATTTAGGATTAAAAATTAGAGGTTTCACTAATTTCTGTTGATTTTTTTTATAATAGAGGAATTTAAAATGACGAATGCTGTGGCTATAACAACCAAATAAATAATGTTTACTATCTTTTTTCAAAGTCACTTCGTGATTAATTAGGTAATATTTTATTTGAGATTACAATAATGCTCACTCTCGAACAAAAAGTATTTTTTGTTCAGTGCTATGGTTTGGGTGAACAAGCAGGAGATTACAGCGGGACACGTTGTATGTATATTGTATATAGTAAAAAAAATCTATAAATTATGATAGTTACATGGGAATACGCTAATACTTTATTTTCATTATTTTTAGCCAGTGATTAATCAGAGGTTACACGGCGAATTTCCGTTGGACTGGGGAGAATTAAAATGCGAATCGCTCCTTGATTACTATACGTACGAAATCGGAAAGGTGCCAATTTATGGCGATGATTTTGCCGAAATTGATCCAGTGAGTATAAACAAGCAATAATTGTACTTTAAAAATAGTTATTTATCTTTTTTACTCTGATGGTAATGTACCATGAAGCTTAATGTTATTATTAATTTATACAGGATAGTATAAAAAAAAATGCGTTTGTGTGAACAGTTAGCTTTTTCTGGTACTATCATCCTTTTTGTGTTTACAGTACCTATATTAATATCTTATCTAAATACTTATTTCGTACTTTTTTTTATTATTTTATAACTTTTGTATTAATAATTCTACAATGTTTTCATTTTATGTTTTTTTCTAAAAAAATCTGGTTATCATCTATATAGACTAATCAATTTTGAATAGCATTTTTTTTCACTAGAGCGAAATTTCGAAAAAACAATTTTCTGTAACACTATAGCAGTAGCGCCCTCTAGGATCACCCTGTGTACGAAATATTTTTCTTTCCTGAGGTTTTGATGCCAGCAGCCAATTAGCTTTTTATTTCTTCAACCCATCTCAAACATTTTACAAAAGTATATCACGAATTACAACATTACAAGATCAATTCATTTCTAATTAAATGAACCCTTTTGTGGTGATTAAAACATGTTCATTGTTAAAAATTGAAAACATGCCGAAAATATTTTTAGGTTTATCTTCCAATAATGCGGACTCAGAATAAGCAAAAAAGTGTTGGAGTTAACGTCCTGATACATCTTTACCAAATTATGAAGTCGAAGAAATTTCAAGCCTTTGATTTTGGAGCAGCTGTTAATCAACAAAAATATGGCCAGTCAACCCCACCAGAATACAACATCTCTGCCATACCAGTTCCTGTAACAATATTTTTAGGAAATAACGATTGGATAGCAACAAACCCAGTAAATATTACTAATATTATATATTAATACAAGGTACTCCTCAATTTTGCTGCGAAAAAACAAATCGGTCTGAGTCAAATCCAATTCCTTTAGAAGATGTAGTAACTCGAATGTGATTTGTTTCCTACGGATTTTCCTCTAAACCAGTTAAAGTATCGGTACTAAATTTGATACACCTTTTCGACTATTGATAACTAATAATTATCATACAAAAAATTAGTTATGTGGCACTCACTTCTGCATCAAGAATACCTCATAGAAGGCTGTAATATTCATCTTCAGATTTTAAGTCACTGGAAGTGTCCATTAAATACACTAGTGAGTTGTATTGCTCAGATTGTAAAAAATATATGAAATGCAGAATACTGTTTGTATCTTTGTACTACATATTTAAGATGTTTACACTAACGTGAGTACCCACAAGTGAACACAGTTTGAATAACGCACATCAAAAAAAATTTTTTTTAATGTTTCGGAACATTTCTTCGTACGTGAAGATGAACATCACAGCTTTCTTTGCTGGTTTTCCTTTTGTTTGGGGATTTCACAACTCACGTGCAATTTGTCCAGATATTTAGAAAAAAAACACTTCAGGGTTCTATATCCTTGCAAAGAGTTTGAATTTGTTCATTTTGACCATGGAGCACATTATAGAAATTTAGCACCAGAACCAACTTTGAAAGTAGTATCCTTTGTATCTTTAAAATATTTAAGGAACAGTAAATACTAGTGATCACTTTCAGGAGTCTATTGAGAAAAATGATGAATGAAAAGACATATTTAAATCTTATTTAAAAAAAAAATCTGAAATATTGCTGAATAAATAAGGACTCTGGCTTATCTTTCGAAAAATAATAAATGCTTTCAATTTATTGTCTTCAACTAATGCATAAGAAGTATCTGTCGCATATTATAGTGACCGGCTTATCTAACATTATTAAACAATGAATTATTCCAGTTTGAACTCTAATAATTTAAGTATTTTTACTAACTTGTAGTTAATAACAGTTTTAATTTTATTAATACGTGTATTAAAATTCTACGAAATTTCTTATATACATTTGGTTTTAATATTATTAATTAGATCTGACGCTGTAATATGCAAGAGACAGTTCAATAGTATCTTATGCTACAATAGAATACAAAATAAAATCTTACTTATTTTTCGAAAAGTAAGAAGACTTATTTTTTAAGCAAATATTAGTGTAACACAAAAAGACAGTCATGTAAATGAAAATATATATATATATACATTTTAATTTTTACTTTATTTATCTTTTTTTACTGATAAATTTTCTCTATGGCCTCCAAAACTGGTATAATAAAGGGTGTCAGAAAAAAAAACGCAGAATTTCATATAAGAAAAAAAGATTTTCTTAATTAAAAAGTTGGCAAAGTTTTTACAAGTTTTTTAAAGGGTAGACATTGCCATTAAATCAGACATATGTCTTACGCGAGACATTTGGCTTACTAGATTTCTTTTAAGAAAATTTTGCTTTCATCTCCTTTCACCGAATTTCTGCCTTTAATTCAAGAATAGTATTCATTCAGAATAAACTTTGGACTTTACGAATCTTCACAGGAAAAAGTCGTATGGCGTAAGATTGCATGATCTTGGTGGCCAAGTCACTATCACTCGTTGCGAATTTTTAGATACCTATTTTTTTCACACTTATTTCACACTTTTTTTAATGAATTCATTACATTATTTTCAGAATGCCCAACGATTTTATAGTCAACTAAACCCAGATGTACAATGTGGATATAAAACAGTAGAGTGCAGTAAATGGAATCACAATGACTTCATAGAAGCTAAAGACATAGAACTATTTTTGTATGGGCCACTTTTCGAAGCAATTGATAATATGAGCTTCGGGATGTGTGTCAAATAATTGTATGAGATGACTAAAGTTGTACCAATGATCTATATTTTTTAAGAAAATATAGTTAAGGGGATAGAATATTGCGCTTTTCAGAACGTATATTGACTTTGGTATAACTTGCTAATTGGTGTATTGTTTTGCAAATAAAAAAGAGTTTAATTAATTAATTACAAATTTATTTTGTTTTGTTCTGCGAAAATATTACCCTTCAATAATGAGTGTTATAAAATAAACATATTTTGCTTGTTATTGCTTATTTTTATTTTTATTTTAGTGTGATTTACAAACAAATTTTTAGAAGCTTGTTTATGTTTTATGATTATTGTGAGTGGATACTATGGGATGAGATTGGCCATTAAAATATGTTAAACTGGACTAAGTCAATTATCTTCAAACTTGGTACAGTGCAGCACCTTCATAATATTATCAGAGGTTTCTTATTTGTGGCATAGTTTTAGTATCTCCTCTATTTATTTTGACATTTTGCTACCTGTAAAAAAAAGTTGAAGAAATAAATCATGCCAAGAATTACACAGCCCCACAAAAAAAAGTGGCACGTCCGAAAGACAAGACCATGGTATCTATATGGTTTAGGATCCGCTGAATCCGAATCCGGTGTCCATTTGACACTATTAGCTCTGGTTTAAGGTCAGTTCAAGCTCAAATGTAGAAAATCAATAGTCAACAAACTAAACCTAAATATCCATACGTTTTTAGCCTCGCCGAATCCGAATCCGGTATCCGTTTGACTCGATCAGATCTGATTTAAGTTCAGTTCAAGATCAAATGTAGAGAATCAATTGTCAACAAAGTAAATCTACATATCTATAAGTTTTTGGAGTCACCGAATCCGAATCTGGTGTCCGTTTGACTCAATCATATCTGGGTTGAGGGCAGTTCAACGTCAAATGTAGAGAATCAATTGAAAACATACCTACATATCTATACGTTTTTGGGGTCGTTGAATACGAATCTGATGTCCGTTTGAACCGATCATGTCTATTAAATACTTTCTAATCAAAAAAGACCAATCAACATACAAAAGATGCTTATACAAATTTTTTGGTTTTGAACCTTAAATTGGAAAACTTGATTGGGTTTGAGCAGAGAAAAAGGTTTCGCCAAGATATTAAAGGAAGAGGAAATTTGAGTGGCAATGAAACTAGTGAAACTGATAGTGCTAGTGGTACTAGTGATGACGAATATATTCCATATCACGTTGTGAAAAAGACAGGAACAATATCACAAGAAAAAGTAAATGATGTTCGAGATTTGGTCCTGGCAGAGGATGGAACAGAGTTCCTAACATCATGGCTAAAAAATACTAAGCAAGCCGGAAAAGTGAAAGTTTTTTACTATCGGTACAGAAATAAGAAATATTTTTCTAACGATGGAGAATTTTCCTTAGGCTACTGCAATGATATTGTTGGATTTATGAATCACTTCAAGCATTGATGTTATAAACCTAACGAGTGGAGCATATTGTTAATTGATTCGTCAAAGAGAAACATGAAAGCTGTTCTACTGCATATGCAAATGAGTATGCAGCCATACCTGTAGCACATTGAAACAAGAGTGCCGTAATCTGAAGATTATCTTACATAGGATCACATACGGACAACATAAATGGCAAATTTGTGAGAATCATCACAATAATACTGAGCTAACAATCGGTATTCACAAAAACTCCTTGCTTTTTATATTAATGGGATAGTTGGGATCAAAAAAACCATTACGTGAAGCCTTCGATGCTGGGTTTTAGGATATAAAACATGAGCCACTTGTTGATTCATCAAAAAGTCTTATTCCACATCTGCACATCAAATTGGAACTCACGAAACAATGGAAAAAAGCTTTAACCAAGGATGGTCAAATCTTTAAGTATATCGGAGATCAGGACCCCAATTTAAGTGATGCGATATTGCGGGAAGGGATTTCTGATGGACCTCAGATCTGTAAGATGTTAAAGGATCGCCTTTTTGATAGTAGAATAAATGAAATTTTTTTTATGTTTTAAGGAACTAATCAAAATAGAGTCCAAACTATAAAAAAATAGTGTAGGATTTGGTAGTAAGCTTTAAAAACCTAGGCTGCTTAGAGAAACTCAAATTACATTATTTACATTCTCATTTGGATTATTTCCCAGAAAATTTGGTTGACTACAGTGAGGAGCAGGGAGAGAGATTTCAACAATATATTATGAAGTGTCGGTACCAAGGCAGATCGAATATAAATATGTTAGCCGATTACTGTTGGTCGTTAAAACTAGATTTACCATCAAAGTAGAGAAAAGGTAAAAGAAATCCACTTCGCAGATATTTTGACAGCAAAACAGTTCGACAACACAATCGTCAGTAGTAGTCTCGATACCATAATAGTGAGATATAGTGATTTCATGTAATTCATCAAGGCAAAAAATATCGTCTTAAAAATATGTTCTCATGAATCTTAATCGACACGGACTGACTGTATAAATTAATGTATATGAAGTATTAATGGACACATAGGTTTAAAGCTTTAGACTTATTAATTTCGTCATGTCAAAACAATTAACTCGAGAGTCACGGGCTCAGAGTTACGTTTTCTTTCTTTAATCTTATTTGTGACACATATTTTAATACCCATAAATGCTTACTTTGATTGAATTTAGAACTTGAGAGTATTTAGGATCGGATCAAATAGACCCCGAATTCGGATTCCGCGACCCCAACTTATAGATATATTGGTTTACTTTGTTGGCAATTGATTTTCTAGACTCGACCTTGAACTGACCTTAAGCCAGACCTGATCGGGTCAAACGAACATTGGATTCGGATTCAGCAATATCAAAAACGTATAGATATGTAGGTTTACTGTGCAAAACCGTACTTATCTTATCAACTTCGACGTCACCTGTTACATAGGTGTTGTATAACAATGAAAAAGTAATACTAACGGTTGGTAGAAGGAAGCATAAAAAACAGGCACTTAGGTAGGAAATTCTGGAAGGAAGCCTAGTGAATCGAAGATAGGTAGTTGAAGTGCGAACAGTGTGGAGGTCGGCAGTAAGACGATCGGCGGGCAGTGTGACAAAGTAGTGTAAAATTAATTGTTTAAAGTGTTATTAGTTAGCAGGTAATATTCTTTAAGTACTTTGTTGTTAATTGTTCTATATAATCTTATGATTGTGATGATTATAGATGTTTCATGATAATAATTCTTTGTAAGTTTAGCGTCCATTGCTTTATGCTCAAGGGCATATATTTTTCTAAGGTAAAATTGTTATACTTATTATTAACGATTGCTCATTATTTATTTCATGTTAAAATATGTATATCGTCGTGGGCGCCCCCGACTTTACAATAATGACTCCTTTGTTTTACAGCTAACTTGTTTTTGTAATGATGACGTTGTTCGTAAAATATAGATGTCTCATGATAATAATTCTGTATATGTTTAGCCTTCATTGTCTTACGCTTAGGGGCGTATATTTTTCTAATATAAAATTGTTACAATTATTATTAACGATTACTCATTATTTATTACATGTTAAAATATGTATATTGTCGTGTCTGCCCAGATATTGCAAAACAACTTCTTTGTTTCACATTTAACTTGTTTTAAACAAGATCATGTTGTTCTTTGATTTCTTGTGTCCACTTTATGTCACACGTCTATACGAGCCTTGTTGCAGTTACTAACATTTTCGCCCGTGCGGAATGAATCTGGATTACGCTGGATAGCCTCCCGTATGGGACTCCAGTGTTAAGAAGGACCTTCCGAAATCTCAACTTTAGCTGAGTAGCCTCCCGTATGATGGGACCTCAGTACCTTCCGGCTCTGCCGGCTAACTAACACCAAATCTCTCCAGTTTTGCTTGGAAGTGTGTATGACTAATATGGGGTTAACAGATGACATTTAGTGACACATTAAATGGGACAAGACTTATTTATCATTGGCAAAGGATCTTAATTTATTCCTTTGGTTAGTGGTTATTTTTGTATTTATATTTGGGTGGTAAGAGCAACGATCGTGGGTTTCTCTGCCATGCTCTTTCCCCGCAGGAGCTCTAGGTGAGCCTGGCACTCTCCTTTTATGTTTAATGGTTGTTAATGTTTTTGTTGTTCTGTCTATGTGTCACATGTTTAATTTGAATTGTATGTAAATAAAGGTTAGGTGTATTTACTCTGCTTTTGTTTTATATAATTAAACCATACATCCCGTCTACAAAGTTAGTAGCCAGTGCCTTCCGGTCAATTAAAAATGGATACACACAACGTAGGTAGTCCTTATGACGATCACATGTTTTTGGCCACAACTACGATATATTGTTTTTTGTCGAACCTAGGGTTGTTATACTACATTACTTTGCTGGCAATTGATTCTCTACATTTAACCTTGAAATGACCTTAAACCAGAGTTAATCGTGTTAAGCGGACATCGGATTCGGCTTTAGCGACCCCAAAACCATATGGATACCATAGTCTTGTCTTTCGGACCTGCCACTTTTTTTGTGGGGCTGTGTTATTTTTACCTTGCACAAGCTCTGATCATCATTTTGATATCATGAGATAATCATGAATGTTGAAGCTCAGTTCAAAGCCATATCAGTCCTGGTATTCAAGATCTACTTTGCTGTGTATTCACAACTACATTAGAGGCTGTAGAGAGTCTGTTGCATAAGACTCTGAAAGTTAGATTTCATTCGAGATGTCAAGGGTTTTTATCTTATTTATGGGAAGTTGGATACTCTATTTTTAAACACCCTGTACAATTGAAACTAAACAAATATCTCAAGAAAAAACAGCAGAAGCAATTTGCGTAATAACCCTGCGGCAGGATCTGTTGTTGATAATAAATATCGGTTAATTTATGTCAAGGTAGTAAATCAGTTATTTTTATTCAATCGGCATTGATAGCTCACCACGTCTAGAATCTTTTTTTGTAAGAAGTGAAATAATTACAGTTTGCCTGTGGTGGTAGTTGATAGTAATAACTGAAAATGGATAGTTCAATGCACTAAACAAAACAAAACGTATTATTTGATTAGGGTTCCGCCTTCTTAGTATCGCTGTAATTGAAAGAAAGTGTAATGGCTAACGAAATATGCATGTGTAGATCTATTTGTGTATTCAGTGAAATTGCAGCAACAGTCTGAACTCTGAAACAAGTTCCGTCAGTGCTTCCCATAAATTATGATAGTTTTATGTGCTTTTCTATTTACCCTATTTTTTATTGAATCGTCACTTTGTACAAATCCGAACAATGTATGTCCGACATTCAGGGATTATTTGAATATTAGAAATAATTCGAATTGCTGGTATGATTTCGCGGCGGAGATGAAGGTGGTGAGTATAATTTTTACTTTTGGTTATTAATGATTTAAATTTGATTTGTAAGTTAATTCATATACCTACTTGATATTTTTGTTTTTAAAAAATTATTCTCATTTAATTTAAAAAGCGACTAAAATTGATGTTTTTTCTATTACCTAAACATATTTAATAATATTAAAAAATTAAGAACTTAAAAAAATAAATTTTGTATTCTATTCTAAAATTATTGTAAACGATAAATGAGGTTATAAGTAGTGGTTTAATGTTTATTCATACTTAATTGGAATGAAACCTTGAATGAATGCATAATAGTTCGTTTAAACCTTGATCATCTCACAGACATTTCATTATACTGGATTTTTGACTCCTAAATGTAAACTTTCTGAAAACTTGTATTAATCTATCAATATGATAATTTTTCTTCAGTGCTCTGTTAGAAAAGTGATAAATAAATGTATTAATTTCAAGAAATTCATTTTATTGTTACTGAAAATTACTTTTAATAATTCGAAATATAAAAGTTTTTAAATAATCAATAACATTGATATACAGGGTGGTCCGTAAGTAATGGTCCATAGAGACATACTACATTTTTTACTTCAAAATATTGCGATTGGAGCCAACATGCCTTAATAAAATGTTGATAACAAAAAAGATACAGGGTGTCAAAGTTGGAAATTAAAAATTGAATTTTCGTAATAATTATAATATTTTTGAGTGTATGAACGTGAAAATTTAGGGGTAGATGTTTTTGTATACGAGAAATCATAATTTGTTATCTATTTCGATGTATCTTCTAGAGGGCGCCACATACGCCGTGTTTATGACGTAAATACGAGCATAATTTTTTTATCCACAACGTTAACGCTTCTTTTTTTTAAAAATCTTAAACCTACATTATTTTCGTGAAAAAATGGTATACTTGTCATTAGCTCTAGAAATTGTCCGTTTTCAAGAAAAACGCATTTCAACAATCTGCTGCATGTTTCATTACAGGAAATTTTATCGTAGTGTGCGCTAATGAAAACATTAATTTTGACAATTAAACATTATCCCTTTGTACACATTAAAATACAAATTATCAAGTTGATAAATTTTATTTACAAAACCAGTTAAAGGAGAAATTTAATTAAACAAAACTATGATTTTATCAAGCGTTTAACAAGTAAAAAACTGAATATGTACCTAAGGAAAAATAGGAAATGTTTCAAAGTAAATTTTCAATATGTCCACCATTCACCTCGATGCACTTGTCCATACGATTTATGAAAGATCGTCTAATATTAAATAATACCATTGGATCAAAAAAAGTTGAGGCATTACTAATTTCTTGCCAAAGTTGGACGCGAGTATTTATAGTGTTTTTATAAACAATTTCCTTCATTGTGCCCCATACACCAAAATCTAAAGGGTTGAAGTCTGGACTACGTGGCGGCCAAGGAAATATACTACCACGGCCAATCCAACGTTCAGGAAAGTGTTGGTTTAGATATGTTCTTACTTGATGAGTAAAATGTGGCGGAGCGCCATCTTGCATGAACCACATATTTTGCCTCAAATTCAGTGGTAACGCATCCAATAGATCAACAAAGCTATTTTCTAAAAAATTTAAATAACTTGTACCATTTAAATTTCCTGGCAACTCATATGGACCTAGAAAATGGTTTCCAATGATCCCACACCAAACATTAATCTTAAATTCATGTTGAAAGTGCCGTTCTCGAGTTACATGAGGATTTTGAACTTCCCAACAATGCTTATTTCTTAAATTGAAAATACCTCGGCGAGTAAATGTCGCTTCATCTGTAAACAATATTCTGTTGACAAATGTATAGTCAGTATTCTGCTTGTTCCGAATATCACTTGCAAATTGATATCTTGAAGGAAGATCGACAGGTAATAAATTTTGAACTGGTGTAAAATGATATGGATGATATTTTTCTTCATGTAATGTCTTTAAAATTGATGTTTTATTAATTCCCGTGGCTGCAGCTAATCGTCTTGAACTAGTTTGTGGATCATCTGCAATGCGAATTAGTATTTCGTCTTCCTGGTCAGGCGTAATCATTTTTGGTCGACCTAAATTATCACGTTTAGGACGAAATGAACCACTTTCGCCTAAGTTTCTGAATAGATTTTGAAACAGTCGTTTACCAGGTTGCAATCTGTTTGGAAATCTTCGGCAATATTCACGTTGCGCAGCACGTCCATTGAAATTTTGTTGACAATAAACAACCGTCATATCTCTCATTTCCAAATTCGAGAAATTATTATGTCTCGGCATAATTCGTTATTTTCTTTTAAATACTTAATTGATTTTTACCAAAAATTAATAAATACAATTTGAAATAATTGCTAACTGTCACAATGATTTTTTCTAATTGTCAAAACTGTCTTGGCATTGTCGCACACTACGATAAAATTTCCTGTAATGAAACATGCAGCAGATTGTTGAAATGCGTTTTTCTTGAAAACGGACAATTTCTAGAGCTAATGACAAGTATACCATTTTTTCACGAAAATAATGTAGGTTTAAGATTTTTAAAAAAAAGAAGCGTTAACGTTGTGGATAAAAAAATTATGCTCGTATTTACGTCATAAACACGGCGTATGTGGCGCCCTCTAGAAGATACATCGAAATAGATAACAAATTATGATTTCTCGTATACAAAAACATCTACCCCTAAATTTTCACGTTCATACACTCAAGAATATTATAATTATTACGAAAATTCAATTTTTAATTTCCAACTTTGACACCCTGTATCTTTTTTGTTATCAACATTTTATTAAGGCATGTTGGCTCCAATCGCAATATTTTCAAGTAAAAAATGTAGTATGTCTCTATGGACCATTACTTACGGACCACCCTGTATACTTACGTTAGGCGCAAGTTCAATTAGTATTTAAATTTATGGGGCAGAAAATTATTTAAAAAATACAATAATATTATTCCAATAAATCTATTAAAATTTCTGAAATATTTTAATTACTAAACGACTATTGAATATACTTGTATTTGCATTTTAGCTTATCATTGTACACAAATATTTAAGTAGTTGATATATACATTAAATTTTATTATGAGGGATATCCAAGAAACGATTGGCACACCTCTCCCTATTAGACTCTTCAAAATAAGATAATTTAGACCAACCTACCTAACTACAGGGTATTCCAGAGAAGTATGACAAACTGGTGCTCATAGACTCCTGGGATCAAAATAAAAGGATTCAGACAAACTTACCTACAAACAAAAATCTTTGCTTTAAAATATACATATAAGAGCATTGAAATAGAATCCACAAAATCGTTTTTTATTAATTATTTTCGAGATATTTACCTCAAATTTGACACGGATGATATCTATTCCATTGGAATTATTATGAGTTCATAAAGATTAGTGCACTCAGGAAAACACGGGGTTGTCATAACCCCTCATCGCCCCAACCATTTTTGTAGGTACGCCTATTGATTTATTATTTAAAATTTCTGATAACCACCACAATTAACTAAATAACATCCATATTAAATTTGAAGTGAATGTCTGGAAAATCATCGAAATTACTAAGGAAAAACGATCTTTAATATTTCTATTCTAGCGCCCTATAAACTAAACATTTTTATATAAAAATAAGTATACCTAAATACTGGAAATATAAAATTTATAAGACACTTCTCTTCTAAAAAACTACGGAAAAACTAAATTTTTTAAGTGTATTTTGGCACAATATGTTTCTTTTAATTTTTAATGCATTTCTTAGACTCATTTTTAATTTTATTTAAATAAAATTTTAATCTGAGTGGGCAAAATGATAGTAGAAAGTGTTGAAAAAAATGTCCAGAACCACTTCATTTTTAGCTGGATATTAAAAGAGAAAAATTTACATTTTTAGAAATATATATATATATGAGGATATTGGACATAAAGTAATAGAAACATGGATTAATTATTATATAATTAATATTAAGGATAAAAGTGAATAAAAATATGTCAACCAGAGGCACGTATAAGTTTATAGAAAAGAAATACTTTTTCTGCGAGACGAATTAACACTCAAATTAAGCCAGGTTGGTAATGATAATGTAAATTAGAAAAAGTAATAACTGGTAAGTAACAATGGTTCGTGTCTTCAAAAAAATCTTTCTTTTTTCGAAGTATCACCAAAAATTGGATATATCATTTCTGAACATTTCTTACCATATCTAACATACTCGCTTTAAGTTCACCAATTAATCCTCAAACACTCTATACAAATTTGTCCCGTGTCAAATAAAATAAGACGTACCCATACCTATTAAATAAGATTTTTCAGTAACGTCATACCTACTTATTTTATACTAGGGCCAAGACAGGAAAACATTCACCTAAAACAGCCAATTATATCCATCTAATCATTAATCCATCCATATAATCTCAAATATAATTCTGTGAAAGTAATTATTTCTAATTAAAATAAATTATTCCATAATTGTTGTAAATGTTTCTTTCCTGTTTACATCAACTGAGTCATTGAATATAATATACGTTTGTATTACAAATAAATAATAACGTATTATTCATTGTTGCAAGTTGATATAGTTATTCTGTTTTATCTTACTGAGAAGAGAAATCATTCTGTCGTCGCTACTAAGAATTTATTAGAAGAATGTAAAAAAACTAATGTAAAATGTAAAATAAAAAAAATGTCACTGTCACTATATGGGGTGGCCCAATTAAAACAGTCCACTTTTTAATTGGGTAACCCTGTATAATTTTAATATTGTCAGCAATAATAACAGAAAATAATGCTGTTAGTTAATTTAAAATAATTAGGTATAGTATTCAATTAAACAAAAATAATAATGTCTTGAATGATTTTTTTTGTAATTTGTTACATAACCTATGAATTAAATTATTTTTTTCAAAAACGATTAATATTAAGCAATTTTATCTCCATATATTCAACTGTTTGCAGTATAAATAATAGATACGTGTATGACTTTAAAAAAAATAATATAATTGCTAGGAATACACAGAGCGACATATTCACTTTGTAGGTATTATTAAAAAAGGCCATGTATGACTGTAATATACACAAAATGCTTACAAACTTAAAGAGAATTTTTTTGACTAGCATACGTTATGTGTGAAACTAGCATTAAAATAAGCAATAAGCTACTCTAGTAACTTTACACTATAGTTTTACTCAAACATTACACAATATTATGCGTTGGAAAGAGAAAACGATTCTTCAAAATTAGTTCCGATATCACAGCAAAACAAATAAGTTTTGTGGAAAAAACTTGACATTAATATCAATATAAATTGGGCTCACGTTAACAAATTTTATACACAAGCTAGATAAAAATTGTGTTATGCTAATAGTAATTTAACTAATGGAATATTATGTCTATATAATCACCAAGGTCTTTTATTTTCTTAACGGTTAATAGTTACACCATGAATGTAACCTAACAAGCAGATATTACTACTGTTAGAAGAAAATTTATTCAACAGTTTCACGCAATATAACTAGCACAGCAGGAATCAAATATTACAATTTATTTTCTACTTCCTTTAGGAAATAGAGAAACGTTTACATAAAAAACTCCCTACTTAATTTGATTTCGTTTTCAGCCAGATATTATAAAAAAGAGTGGCTATCCTTTCGTTGAATACAAAGTGAAGACGAAAGATGGATATATCCTAACTGTATTTAGAATACCAGGAGTTGCCTCAAAGAAGCCACCAATTTTTATGCTACACGGTGTGCAAAGTACCTCAGGGATATTCGTCGGTCTTGGAAAACATTCTATGGGTATGTATGAATCATATTAATGATGATGGTAGTTCTTGAAAACTTAGAAAACTATAATCTATTAACACAATAGAGGTTTGGTTGTTTATAAAGTAATTTTGTTTTGAGAGGCACATACCTCTGCTTATATCAACTTTGTAGCCATCTAAGTTACCCTGTGTACAGTTTGGTATGCAAGAATCAATGTCAGTGTCGAGGATTAAACAATTTTCGAACTGGTAACACATTGGCAGTTTTTGATCTCCTTCATTCCTTGTTGTTCCACTTTAATATCTTCATAAAAGCATTAATAGCGGTAGCCCTTATACCAAAATGTGGATGCAATTTTATTGACGATAGATTTATCATCTGACCTTGATGTAACGACATGAGAGGATTTCTGGATCTTATTAATAGGATACATCAAGGCATTATTTTCGACATAGAGTTGGAGGAATGTTTTATATTCCTAGATGTTCCTGTCAACAGGAAACCGAGCACATACCATATGCGAGCCGAAACACTTAGACAAGGAGCTATACCACATCAGCGAGCATAAAAAGTGGACATACTATCAAAAATATTGGAGAGCTTGGAGTTTAGTGACTTTTCACCAGTTTGCGACTAACTACAAACAAAATAAACGCTACTACAAACGATTTTAGAGCCGGAGTTTTTGTTTAGTGACTTTTTAGCGGTTTTCGTGTAACTACAAACGAAATAAACGCAACAACAAGGAACTACAAACGATTTTAAACCCAAAGCTGAGATTTTAGTGACTTTTCGTCAGTTTTCGAAGAACTGCAAACGAAATAAACGCTACTACAAACAACTACAAACGATTTTAAAGCCAGAGCTTGGAGTTTAGTGTTTTCGTCAGTTTTCGATTACTTAACTATAATTGAAATAAACACTACTACAAACGATTTTGGAGCCAGAGTTTCGAATGTAGTGACTTTTCATTAGTTTTCGCTGAACTACAAACGAAATATGTGTAACTACAAACAATTTTAAACAATTTTAAAAACATAATTTGACGTATAGAAGTTATTATACACATCATCAGTGTTATAATAAGACTAAGAAATAGAGAAATAACTTCTCTATTATTTATAAATACAAAGATATGATAGGTGGCCACTTAAGAGTACCACAGTCTAATACACCTCAAGGAGATAGGGTCGGCTGTAAGATGAATGTACTTCAAAGTCATGGTGCTTACAAAATATATGTCAAATAAAAAGGGAGATACGAAATTAAACACATAAGACAGCCAATTAAAGAATAACAAGTAATGCAGTTGCTACACTAGAACATAAAGGACGATAAAAAATAGTCTCTAAATTACCCAGAAAGAATCATGGTCAAGATTATAAAGAGAAGCAATGTAAATCCAATAAAACTGTTAACAGCTCTAACATAAAAATAGGCTCAAACAGGCCAGAGACATAGCCAGACAAATTAATATTCAGATTTTTCCTCTGCAAGATCGACATGTCTCTCAAAGTGTCAAGAAGTCTAAACAGTCGAACCAACTAGCTTAGAAACTGTTTAACCTTTATACAACTGTCTAAATCTTTAAAATTATATTTTGACAAAATTGAGTTTACCTTCAAATCGATATGTATAACAAAATTCGTAATTCACAAAATAAGCATGTAAAGATATATCATAAAATATTTTCTATTTTTAATTCCTTGTCATAGTAAACATTAAAAAAATTATTTTTCATTTTTCTATTTTTTACTATTTTGTTAAAACCATATAAGGAAATATTTTGTAATATTAAGAAGCAAGATGTTTTTCGAATTTTTTCTGATGTAGAATTAATGTTTATTTTTTTTATCAGATTATATTATAAGTAGGTAAAACATTTTTTTAGATTTTAAATTTAAGCATATACAATAACGAGGTAAATCAAATATGGATATTTTTACAAAATATTGGATCATAAATATCTTTCTATACAGTTCGGTTTCAAAATAAGCAGTTCTCATAAATGAATGTTCTTGACAATACAAAATTCCAAAGTTGATCAAATCTTTCTGTAGAGGAATATCTCAAAATTTATGATATACATACAATTATGTAGTATTAAAGATTTTGTTGCCAGACTACTAAAAAACTAAATATCCACCAAAAAGCTTTTATAAGTTGTAATTTTATTTACCTGGCATAGGTACAGGTGAAAATTCAAAATGACCATACACATTTTATTTATTAAAAAAAGCTCTGAATATCATTTCTTCATTTTCCGAAACTGTTATTGTAAAATCCCTACTGACGAAAGTGGATTCACATTTTTACTGAAAACCTCTGAGTCATCCCGCTTATACAGGGAAGTAAAAGTTCCAACGGAGGCACTGTTCTAAAGTACTCGCATTTCAAAGAGAAATTCATATCACGAACACAACGACGTTTCAAACCAGGAAATGAGCTGCCACTCCCTCCTAGCTACGAAGAATTAACAAAAAGAACGTGAAAAATTGACTATTACCCGATTAATTAGAATTTATTTACTTGTCGCCTAGCTTCTGAGCTAAGTATACCTGAAAAAAATCTTTTCCAGCCTTTCTCTTGCACGACGCCGGTTACGATATATGGTTGGGCAATTACCGTGGTACTGAATATTCCGAAGGACACGAGTCCCTCAATGTCACGCAGAAAGAGTACTGGAATTACAGGTAAGGTTGAGTTTAATTACGAGTTTGTTTGTTTTGTTTGGGAAATTAATTATGCTTGTAGTATATGCCAATTAGAACTCGTAAGTAGTACGCATTTACGGAATATTTACTTAATGCAAATATATTGCCAATACATTAAATACACAGCGCCACAATAAAAATTGGCTAAGCCGTGAATCAGACCAGTCTATCCCATAGTGTTTCGACCCGCTGAATCCGATATAATGTCAGAATTTCTGGATGGCTTTATTCTTTGACGATAACATCAGGAAACTCTTCTAGAAAGCGGTGTTCGACATTTGTAATCGTGCTGTGTAGTCAATGATTGGAAAAATATTGGCATTCATGATCTCATTATATAATAACCCCACAACCCTATATGCTCGAAACCCCATAACCCCGTAATGTCGTAACTTATTATTTGATTGTATTTGAACGTAAAAAAACTCACGAACACTGATCAAGAGTATGATTAGGTGTTTTCAGTGCAAATACAAAGAGAAAAAGCCCCAAGCTCAAATGTTATGGGGTTATAACGTACAATGAGGTCATGAATTCTAATGTGTTTCCAATCAACTACTCAAGTCTGTTTAAAATCTAGAAAACCGCTTTCTAAAGGCTTTTCTTGAGGTTAGTATCTTCCTGCCTTATAAAAAATCTTGGAAAAATGGTTTCTAAAGAAGTGAGCAACTATTGTAATAAAGCGAGGATATTGTCTGATACTCAGTCTGGCTTTCGAGCTCAATCTAGCACTTGTACTGCTCTGCCTAAAGTTACATGTGATCTAATAAGTAATATCGATAAAAGTAAATGTGCCTGTCTTATTCTTCTCGATTTTAGTAAAACATTCCATACTTTGGATTTTGTAACCCTCTGTATTAAGTAAAAGTTTTAGTGATATTGCTGTCGCATTCTTTAAAAGTTATCTGTTGGACAGACGCCAGAGGGTTACTTTGAAAACTGACGTATCCAGATTTAATCTCATCTCTGCTGGAGTTCCCCAAGGTAATGTTCTAGGGCCTCTTCTTTGTTCCATTTATACTGCTGATATTTGTAGTTATCTCCATTATTTTAAGTCTCATCAGATAACACTCAATTATATTTTTCTTTTAGTCCTTCTGACAGCTCTTCAATAGTGGCCCTAATCAACGTTGATCTAAACTCTATCTCTGAGCTATCTTTGGCTCATAATCTTATTTTCAACTCAATTTAATATTTTGAAATAAAAGAAATGTCATTGTAGGTAACACAGATTTTACTATTATTTTGAATGGACATTCTACAGGGTCGGAAAGTCCCCATGGTTCATCGTCGTTACGTGAGAGCGATAAAGTAAGTCATAGACATCCATGCGATAGAGAAGGATGGCTATAATGAAGGCGTCTCATAGTCACCGCCCGTTTCGCCCTTCCACAAATAAGATCTCTTACAATGCTATAAAAAATTATAATTCTCTGCCTAATGCTTTTGACAGCTGCTGCCACCTGTAGTGACAATATTCTCGAAAGACCATGTATAGACCTTAAAATTTAGATAGTATTCTAAATATGAAATGTTATTATTTTAATAAAAGCACTTAACAGATATTTCCAAATGATCTAGTTTTACGTATTTCATAATAATCTGAGGAAAAATATGGTAGTTATATTAAAAGGTATGTGAGCGTACACATGTGCGTTTAGAAATACCTACTTGAGCTGCAAATTCTTCCTCAGTTGAGTACCAATAATCGCGTTCTACTTTCTTAAATAATTTTTCTTAAATATTTCTGGTTTTGCAGTACATGTTGAAATAATTATCATCCTATAGCAAACTACACGTTATTTATTTATAAAGTTATTTCCGTGGTTTGTTGCGAATGAATATTTAACCCAGTCTACTTTGTTTTAAATCTAATACTTTTTTATACACTCTCTGCGTTTGGAATAAATTTAAAAGGTATCAGGATAATAGACATTATGTCTCTAAGAGACATTTTTCTTATACAACATAAACTTTGTAGAAAGTTACTTTCAAATATTTCCTTTGAATTGAATCTTTTATCTTTATCTTTTTTTAATAATTCTACCTTTATTGGTATACGATTTCTGATTGTATCTACCGATTAAATTTGCGTAATTAATTTCGTTTCATTATTGCGTATTCTATTTTTGAGAGTTGAATTTGTTTTGGAACTAATTACTAACTTAAAAATGTTTTCTTTTGTGCGTTGTCAGGCATTAATTAATATCGATGCAGACAAAATAATTGTTAATAATTACCCACCACTAGAAACTATATTTGTATAATGGTGAAAATACAGAGTAAACGCTAAAATAGATCGGTAACGGATAGGTACCGGTAATGGATAGGTACGTCTTTTTAGAGCTCTTAAATTTAAACAAAGTTTTTAGTAGCATTTTTCTTATAAAGTGATATAAAACCTAAATGATTAAGATAGTTGCAAAGATAATTTTAAAAAGTTATAAAATTATATTATCGCCAGATTCCTTTCATTCATAAAAAGCAGCCAACCTGTGAGGAAGATAATGATGTCTCACTTACATGATCACAAATCCCTAAAAAATTGTTTTTTTTAACAAATTCCTGAGTTGTAAAAAAAAAACTTAATCTTGTTTTGTTCTTCTATTTTGTGTTATGTATAAAGTGTGTTTGTCAAATTCTGTTAATGAAAATTACATTAACAGACAGTAAGATTTTCTCGGCTCTTATTTTAAAAATAGGTATGCTTCCAATATTGTAATTAAGTGCAATTAAAAATTAAAAACAAAAAATGGTGGAGGCGCCGCTCGATGTGCACTGTGACATAAAATCACAAATATTTCCTAAACTGAAGAACTGATATTATTTTGACCTCATTTTGTATCAGGTACCGAGACACCCTGTATATAATGTATGATGCTTGGAAGGAATCAAAAAATCATATAGATCAACACCTTATATAATTATAAAATATAATTTATGATTGCCTCCGAGCTATATTTTAAAAATTGTTTTGCTATCTTGAATAATAAAAACCTATCCCTGCGCAAATGGGTTATAGAGACAATTAAATGCGAAACATAAAATTATTGTTTAAACTGTTTTGATTTCGTACGAGTGACTTTTTTATTATTTAATCTTGCACACACACACAGAATATTATGAAAATTTCATTGAAATTACTGAAATTGTTTCGAAAAACACCGAAAAAGAGCTCTACCTCCACACCTTGTATCTTAGAAAAGAAGCAGCAAATGGGTTCTTTGCTGATATGAATTTTTTAATTGAATGGCAAATATTTTTTTGGAACACCCTATATGCCAAATTATGCACATTTTACTTCCTGCATATAACAAATAAATGTTACTGATAAATTTATTGTAGCTAGTCATATCAGATCCACCTTTCAATTTAATATACTTATTTATCGATGCATATAGTTGTATACATACAAAAATTCAATAAAACATTCATATCTGATAATCCATATGTTATTGTGACATGTAAATTACAATGTATAAGTGTAAATTCTTATTATAACTTAATTGTAATACTCTTACAGTAGCTGAGTATAAAATAAAAGCCAGCAATTTAGCAATAATTTATCGCCATTTTCTTTTATATATACAGGGTAGCCCATCGAAAACGTAGCGCAAGGCATTACAGAGTAGTAATGAACTTCACAGCAAAATCCAAAAACAGGTAAAGTTTGCTTCTGAGGGGGACAATTTTTGGCGCAAAACGCATAGCAAAATCTTCAACCCCCTAAGTGGGGGTGCCATCCCCCAAATTTTTTTAAATGGCAATGGGAGTCAAGTGGGGGTCATTAGAAAGGGCTTTTAATTCTCTATACATCGATTCTTACTTTTTGAAAATCGATCAATTATTTTAGAAAATATGCAGCTTTGAAAATACGAACAATATTTTTGACGAGAAATGCGAAAATCGATTTAATTTTACTTCAAAACTTACGGTATTAGCTTGGTAAATTCCTTCAAAAGAATTCGCTGTTTTTTTTTTCTGATTTGCGAATTCTTTAGCCTGATTTTGGTGAGCAAAAAATTGTCCGCTTTTTGTTTCGTATTTAGATAGGCCACAAGAAGTTGCTAGATAACTGTCTTGTGACTTGTAGTTGAAGAGTACCAATACTGCCGAGTCTTTTAAATTGATTAATTATGGTGTACTCAATTCCAGAAAGAGTAGAAATTATTGAGCTTTTTTTCAAAAACAATGAATGCGGAAATCGGGTCGCCGAACTGTTCAACCAACGGCATCCTGAGAAACATGCGTCTGGAAAAATTGTTCGCGAATTGGTGGCCAAATTTCGCGAAACTGGCTCCGTTCATAACAAAAAGAGGCAGGTTGAAAATCCGGTACTAAATGAACCTACGGAAATAGCGGTATTGGGGCAAGTGGCAATGGATAGTACGCTGAGTACAATGCAATTGGCTACTGCGACAGGAGTGAGTCGTACAAGTGTCCAACGAATATTAAAAAAATACAAATTCCATCCTTATAAGATTCGGCTAGTGCAAGAGCTAAATGAAGACGATTTTGATCGTCGTTTGCAATTTTGCGAAATAATGACTGAACGAGCGATAAACGATAATTTCCTCTTTAATGTGTGTTTTTCGGACGAGTGTACGTTCTTCTTGAATGGTTTAGTGAATCGCCATAATTGTCGTTACTGGGCTGATACCAATCCAAGGATTTTCCATGAGACACACTCCCAACACCCCCAGAAGTTGAATGTATGGGCAGGTATTTTTGGAAATTCCATTGTAGGTCCTTTTTTCCTTCCTGGAAATTTGACAGGCGATATGTACTTGGATTTACTACAAAATGTCATCGACCCAGCTCTAACAAATATCATAGAGGACGACCCTGCTTACAATGAACACGAACTGATTTTCCAGCAAGACGGAGCTCCTCCACATTACTCGCTCAATGTGCGCAATTACCTAAATGAGACGTTTCCAGGACGCTGGATAGGACGAAGAGGTGCAATTGAGTGGCCCCCTCGGTCACCCGACTTAAATCCTTTAGATTTCTTTCTCTGGGGGCACATTAAAAGCAAAGTTTACAGCACTCCACCTGATACCTTGGAAGATCTGCGAGGACGAATCATTAATGTATGTCGCGAAGTAACACCGCAAGTGCTCCAGAATGTTCGACAACGGTTTGAAGACAACCTGTATCATTGTATGCAAGTTGGCGGACAACATTTTCAGCATTTACTTGACTAATACCGTAAGTTTTGAAGTAAAATTAAATCGATTTTCGCATTTCTCGTCAAAAATATTGTTCGTATTTTCAAAGCTGCATATTTTCTAAAATAATGAATCGATTTTCAAAAAGTAAGAATCGATGTATAGAGAATTAAAAGCCCTTTCTAATGACCCCCCACTTGACCCCCATTCCCATTTGAAAAAATTTAGGGGATAGCACCCCCACTTAGGGGGTTGAAGATTTTGGTATGCTTTTTGAGCCAAAAGTTGTCCCCCTCAGAAACAAATTTGACCTGTTTTTGGATTTTGCCGAAAAGTTCTTTACTACCCTGTAATGCCTTGCGGTACGTTTTCGATGGGCTACCCTGTATATTAGAAAATTCTAGTTGTTTGATTTTAATGAATTAATCTTGTAAAGAATAAATGACATAATGGTTGTTTCACTAGGGTAGTGATGTAAAGATATGTATACAAAGTCATGTTAACTGAGTAAGTAGCAGATTTTAGTTAAGCGATTATTTTTTTTGTAATTTAAGAAAAGTTGAATCAAGAGCGTTGGTTTACGTCAATATGAACGGTTTTCCAGGCTTTCTTATTGAACGACTTACGAGCTAAGACTTAGGAAAGTCAATGTAAATCCTAAATTAACGTAAGGCGTTCTTACCGGATAATAATAATATGATGCCCCTTCTTCTAACAACTATATTCTGGGCGAATTCTTGCAACTAGATGAGAAGTACAGAGATAATTATTTTGTTCATATATTCTTTTACTTCAAACACCTGTAGTTGGTACGCCTATAGATTCTATAACAAAACCTAAAACGTGGTCTATTTATTGGGCAGTTTCCGGAATAATATACTAGCCTCGTCTAGGAAACAAATACTGCCAGATAAGGGGTTTGAAGTAGGTTTACAGTTGCCTGATAAAATCATTAAGAGAGTCGTGTGTGCTAAACTGTTTTCACTAAAAGTGATAAATTTACAAAAACCTCTAATCAAAACAAGCAAAAAATCCCAAAAGAATTTTGAACAAGTTAACTTCATTGCTATGTAGTGGGCATCTGTTGCGTCCACTTAGAGGAACCTGCAGCATGCCAAATTTTAGTTTCTTCAAATTCATATTTGAAAATGAATGAAAAGTTGCTTTATTTGTACAAAGACATAAAGTTCAGCTTATTTTTTTCTTAATGGTAAATGAAAAACTTTATATAAATTTTGAAGAACGTATCCACATCTGTAGATCGTTAGAGCTAATGTAGAAACATCTTTTGTACTCATTTTCTTTTTCAGTGTGGATGAAATCGCTTTAAATGACGTCCCGGCGATGCTGCAGCTTGTAAGATACCACACTCTAGACAAAGGCAAAATAATATATATAGGACATTCCCTAGGAACTACTGCAGCGTTGATGTACGCGTCAGAATATCCCGATGCAGCCGCAAATAACGTGGGACTTTTTATATTACTCACTCCGGCATATAAGTTGTCGAATATGAGAAGCCCGTACAGATTTTTATTTCCTTTGTTATATCCAGTTTTGGTGAGTGTTGCATATAACTAATATTAGAACAAAATATTTACCTAAGACTATTCAGCAAAATATTGAGCAACTTTTGTGGTATTTCCGTTAATTTATTTTTATAGGTAAATAATTTATGCATGTGCATGTTAATTGCAATAATAGGTTAAAAAATTATAGGACCTGTGTTTTTCAATTTTGATCTCATTTGGGCATTAAAAAAATTAGTTGTGACGTCTCTAAACGATTAAAAAATCAGCTACTGATATGGTTTTAATTCATGCTTTGTGCAGAAATTATTTTTAAGGTATGTTTTGTAATCGAAGAATTGCCTACCTTGTTACAAATTGCTGTATCTGGCAATTAACGTTTTCTTCCATTTATCAGCATGCCAACAACATTTAGATATTTTGATAATATTTTCGCTTAAAAACGTCATGCAAGTAAACCAAAAATTCAAATTAAAATTAAAACCAACATAATTTAACTAATTCCTTCACTAAAAATATTTAATAAATATAAATACATATTTTTAAGAAAAGAATATTTCCATTTTCTTTGCAGTTAAAGGGAAGGCTTATTAGCTTATTAGTTTATAAGCTTGTTAAACAATTACTGTGATTTATATTGGCTTCACCTACCAATCGACTAAATAAATAAGTATCTAGTAAAATTATTATACGAATTGCTAAGAAAGAGATTAATGTACTCGACGTGAAAACAACAACCTATAAGCAATCAATCATGTTGTCAGTAATTTAGTTAATAAATTAAGATAATATTGGTGGACAACATTGCATTAGCGCAATAATCTATATAAAAAAGGCGTTGAGTTGAAATCCGAATATGTAACTAGAAACAGCATCTACTATTCTACTTTTAATTATTATTGAAATATTTTAAATGTCATTTGAAACTAAAGAATATGTCTAGTAAATGGGAACGTTCCAGCTGATGAATATTAATTATTTGGTTATTATTAAATTGGATTAAATATGAAAATCTGCTATCTTGACATTTTTTATCGATTGATGCTAAAATTCTTTAATACAGCATAACCAAATGTTAATAAATCATTGGTGGTCTTTAATTTTCAGTTCTGAAAGTTTTTAAAAATATATTAATGTTTAAATAATAACCAAATCAATTAGGTAAATTTAACAATTTTTTTTTAATTTTAGGATATAACAAATGCATTAAACATTATTCCATTTATATCCAGAGGGAATGCGAGAAATGTAACACGTCCTCTCTGTCTGTCGTCGCCACCCATGATGATAGCATGTCTAAATATATTGAATTTATTTTTGGGACCATTCACGCAAATTTCTCCGGTAAGTATATCATGAGTCTATATCTCGCAACATTACATTTAAATACAGTACAAGTAAAATTTTGTGTTCATTTTTTTAAATAATTTGCTAGCACATCTCTGAAATGATTTACACTTTCTTCGACATTTAAAATATCAATAAAAAATTACAATGAGAAGTCTTAGTACTATTAATACTGATTTGAAGTGTGAAAATAAGTGGTGTGTTAAAGGTAACACCGTTTTCATTCCGAAGAGTTGGCAGCATTTCGCAAAATTCATTACAAGTACGGAGAGTGTAAAGCTGAGACTGTGTGAAAATTACGTGGAATTTTCAATAGAAAAAGAGCTCCGAATGGAACAACTGTGAAAAGACTAGTTAACAAATTTGAACAAAGAGGTTCAGTTGCAGACAATAAAAAAACAGACCGGCCATTTCAAAAATCATAATGCAGCGGATTGTAACAAAAGATCTGCATCAGCATTCATTCAAGATTCAGCTAACTCTGGAATTGAAACCAAATGACCATTTAAGGCGCCAGACATTCGTTGATTGGATGTTGAAAAATTAACAAGTGAACAGTGATTTTGCTAAGAAAATCATCTTTAGCGACATTTCCGTCTTAGTTGTGAAGGAATTTGAAAAAGCAAAACTGAAGAATTTGGAACAGAGACAATCCTCGGGTCATTCAAGAACAACCACTGTATACTTAAACAGTGACAACAGCGGGGTGTTTGGGTCATTGTTTTTAGAAAGTGAAGCTAGAAACGCAGTGACTGTGAATGGAAAACGGTAGCGAGAGATGCTATTGATTTTTTTTGTAGCTTCATTTGGATGGAATGGATTTGGACGACATGTGGATCCAGTAGGGTGATGCGTGTGAAACTATCCATTTGTTACGACAGAACTTTAATAGATGACTCATCTCATGTAACAGTGAAATGACTTGGCTACCAAGATCATACGATCTTACGACATGCGACGTCTTCCTGTGGGATCGTAAAGTCCAAAGTTTATTCTGCTGCAATTAATACCATTCCTGAATTAAAGGCAAAAATTTGGAGAGTTATCAATGAAAGTCAGCACCAGGTATACGAAAGCTGGATACAGATATTTCTTAAAACATGTCGAGTACCTACCTAATGAGTAGCAGAGGACGTCAGTCCGATATTTTCATTCATATTTAATGGCAATGTCTACCCTTTAAAAGCATGTAAAAAAATTGCCAACTTTTTAATTGATAAAACATTTTCCTCATATGGAATCTTGCGTTTCTTTTGGGACACCCTTTATTAGCTCTGAACAATTCTCGTTACCAAAATAGTATTGAATTAATTATAAATTGGGAAGTGGAACAAAAAATCAAGTAGCAGAAAAAATAAACAAGAGGACAAATGAAAGAAAATTATCTCTATACTGCCCTGGAACTTTGGAATCTGACCTCAAGAGTATGTCGTTCTTCAGTGGTGTATTTCAGAAATAAATTAATCTTGCATTGATAACCATTAATTTTGATATAGTTTGTCATAAATCATATACCTTATATTTACTTAGGTACTTTATATTCATATCTTTATATTCGAACGAAACTTAATAGTCAAATAATACTGTCCTCCTTTCAGGAGACCATACCGGTGTATTTCAACCAAATTCCAGGAGGAACTTCTCTTAAAACCATTAGCTATTTAGCAGAAGCAACAAGAGGACAATTTAGGAAATATAACTACGGAGTAGGAAAGAATAGGTTCCTCTATGGAAGCGATACGCCGCCAGAATATGATATTAAGCGAATTAAAGTCCCTATTTATATTATGTATGCTGCTCGTGACTGGACTATTACCAAAGAAGTAAGTAGATTGGGTTTTTAATTGAGTTTGTTCGCTTAGTATTCTAAAGGCGCACACACAACAACGAATTCGTTCGGTAAGCGAACGAATTCGTTTAGTTCCTTCATTCGTTCATTTTCTTCATCTCCCTGGAAGTAACGAATACGTGTGTGTATGAACATTTGTAAAAAACGTACATATTATGCAAGTTAATTCATTTTTTATAATTCATTCTCTGTTACAGTATATTTATTTATTTATTTGTAATTCATTCATTCATTCATTCATTCATTCATTCATTCATTCATTCATTCATTCATTCATTCATTCATTCATTCATTCATTCATTCATTCATTCATTCATTCATTCATTCATTCATTCATTCATTCATTCATTCATTCATTCATTCATTCATTCATTCATTCATTCATTCATTCATTCATTCATTCATTCATTCATTCATTCATTCATTCATTCATTCATTCATTCATTCATTCATTCATTCATTCATTCATTCATTCATTCATTCATTCATTCATTCATTCATTCATTCATTCATTCATTCATTCATTCATTCATTCATTCATTCATTCATTCATTCATTCATTCATTCATTCATTCATTCATTCATTCATTCATTCATTCATTCATTCATTCATTCATTCATTCATTCATTCATTCATTCATTCATTCATTCATTCATTCATTCATTCATTCATTCATTCATTCATTCATTCATTCATTCATTCATTCATTCATTCATTCATTCATTCATTCATTCATTCATTCATTCATTCATTCATTCATTCATTCATTCATTCATTCATTCATTCATTCATTCATTCATTCATTCATTCATTCATTCATTCATTCATTCATTCATTCATTCATTCATTCATTCATTCATTCATTCATTCATTCATTCATTCATTCATTCATTCATTCATTCATTCATTCATTCATTCATTCATTCATTCATTCATTCATTCATTCATTCATTCATTCATTCATTCATTCATTCATTCATTCATTCATTCATTCATTCATTCATTCATTCATTCATTCATTCATTCATTCATTCATTCATTCATTCATTCATTCAATCATTCATTCATTCAATCATTCATTCATTCATTCATTCATTCAATCATTCATTCATTCATTCAATCATTCATTCATTCAATCATTCATTCATTCATTCATTCAATCAATCTTACCATACCCGAGATGCGTTCTTTAAGTGAATCACAGTTGTAAATGTAGAATATTGAAAAACTACTACTATTTAATATACAGAGTGTTTCATAGCTCTACCGACACAGAGCAGGCACGTGTAGAGGATCTTAAAATATGCCGAATTGTCATGTAACATTTTTTTCTGGGATGTACCGTAGAAGAGAGATTGGCCTCTGAAGATGAGTGTTAAATTTTGAAAAACAATATTTCCCTTGACACAGAGCAACCAAATTTGGTACATGATTTGCGTTTATTGTTAATATGAAATTGTTGAAAGCCCAATAAGGGCCGGACTAGGGGTAGGGCACCCTAAAAATAATATTGATTTTTTTATTAGTTTGCCAATTATTAAATAGTTTTACCAGTATTACAGGAAACCTTATTTTAAACATTTTTTTACACTTACAAATTATTCGAAAAATAACGGTTTTTGAGAATGTCTAGATTTTGAGAAACAGCGTTATTACTAATTGAATTGGACAAAAAGTAAAATATGCAGTTTTACGACTAGTAGGCTATGATATTATGTGTCATGTTTGACGTTTACAAAGACTGTACATTACCACGTACTATTCCAACGTTTTGTAAATTGCCTGCAATATTTTCATGTCGGAAAAAGTTGACGTATGTTAGTATTGGGGTTTTGTGAGGGTAATTGTCGATGAAGTGTACAAGAAGAAGATTTCCTGATAGTTTGATTCCAAACCGGGAGACCTATGCTAATGTTGAGAGTAGGGCTTGAGAGACTGGATCATCTCTAGTCAGCAACGAGGTTCCCTCGAAGAGGAATCGCAAATTTGCATAATTTCCATGAATATTCGGATGAAAATCCGCATGCAATAATTCCTCTCCATTTTTAAAATGAATTTAAAATAAACGTGTGGGCTGGTATTGTCCGACGATATTTGTTTGGGCTAGTTATTCTACCAAACCGACTGAATGGCGAAAATTATTTATTTTTTTACAAACTCTCTCTGAGCTACTCGAGGATTTACCTTTGCAATTAAGACGTTCATGACCGCATTTTGGTGCTAACGTAACATATTTCTTGAACCAGCAGTTAGGGAATAGATGGATAGGACAAGGAAACAATTGTTCAGAAATTTGGCCACCAAGATCACCAGATCTGAATAAATGTGATTTCTTTCTCTGGGAGGCTTTAAACGAATTTGTTATTTTACACCGGTTGTATCTGAAGCAGATTTATTGAATCGTATAAATGCAACGCCATAAAAAATGATCCACAGTTATTGCGCAGAGTAGACTTTTTCGGCAGAGGGTAAATTTATGTATTAGAGGAAATGGTTACTGTAGTGCTATTTAACGATATCGGTAGTTCATGCGGTTAAAGTTGAATTTGTTAATGTTTTATTTGTAAAGTTCCTTTTTTTAATATGTTAAAAACAAAATAAAGAATCTAATTAAATGAAATTGCATATTCCTAATACTTTTTTGTATACGCCAAAACATGAAATCTAGCCTACTAGTAAAACTGCATACTTTACTTTTTGTCCGATTCAATTAGTAATGATGTTGTTTCACAAAATCACGATTTTCTCAAACACCGTTATTTTTTCGAAAAATTTGTAAAAGTAAAAAAATTTTTTAAATTAAATTTCCTGTGATACTGGTAAAACTATTTAATAAATCTATATAATTTTAAGGGCGTCTCCCTAGTCCGGACCTTATTGGGCTTCCAACAAATTCATATTTTACCAATTAATTAAACGCAAATCAATATCAAGTTTGGTTATGTTAAGGAATTGCTGAAATATTATTGTTTTTCATAATCTGCAGATGCCAATATCTCTTCAACAGTACATCCCAGAAAAAAATGTTGCATAACAAATCGGCTTATTTTAAAATCCTCTACACGTGCCTGCTCTGTGTCGGCAGTGTTATGAAACACCCTGTATTATAATACAGTCAAAACGTATTACTAAAATATAAAAGTATTTTCCAATAGGTATAGTATTGTTTACATTGATTAAAATTAAAATTAAAATTAAAATATTTTTGTATCATTTTCCACAGAGCATTATGAAAGAATGTCGTTTCTAGCTTCTAAACTATGAGTATCAAAATAAGTTTGATTAATATCAATATCTTACAGAACAGAAATTTTCATTTTATTGTTTTTACTTATCTCTGTATGTGATACTTTTGTATTATGTATTAACATGTACTTATCACACATAATCTGATATGGACATTCTCCACAAGTTAAAATAATGTATAGACAGAATTGCCATATATCACTATTAATGATTATTTAAGAGTTATTAATAGTAACAATTACACATAAGCCTATAATTTTCCGGAGTATTACACTTTAATTGTTTAGTATACTTGGTGCAACAACATTCTATACAAATTCTTGTTCTTAAATATCGTGCACTAACGTTTCATTGTCGTGAAAATACGAATAATCATGCATGAGTGGGTTATATGACTTTTACTCACGTGAGTTGAACTCATGCTAAATTTTCAATGATAATAATGGAATAAAATTCATAAACGATTAGTAAGTAGTTTCTGTGAAGAGATTTTTTTTATATGCTGCTTAAAAAGTTTTAATAATTTTAAATGAAAAAAGTGCATCTTTTCATAACATTAAACTCAATAATTAATACAGTTGCGAAGTTTAATTATTCACGCCTATTTTGTGATAGGCATTTCCAATAATATTAATATAATGCATTGCGAAATGGGATATCGTACTCAAAAGATAATTTTATTCTTCTTTATTTCCTCGCGATGTAGCTTGGATATTGAATACAATAATTTCAAATTTGTTCTAGGACTCTCTAAATCTATACAGAGAATTACCAAAAGAAGTACGCTATGGAATTTACGAAATCTCAAACTTGAATTTCAACCACTACGATTTTCTGTTTGGCAGAGATTCTAAGAAGTTAGTTACAGATAAGCTGTTAGAAGTTCTGAAAAAAGCAACAGGAGAAGAATGATTTTTGTTGTATTTATTTTTTATACTGTAGATAAATAAAACTTTTATTTTTACATAACAATTTGTTTTATTTAGGGCAAGGTAGGGCAAAGCGGTTAAGTCAATTTATTCCTAACACCTCACCAAGTACAAAACTGTGCTTATTTTTTTTAAGAAGCTTACTATTTACTGAAATACGTATGTTATAATATAGCTGCTTTTTTTAATAAAAAAATGTAAATTCCTGATAATTTCCACTTATCCCTTTATAACAGAGAAGAATATAAATTGAAATTAGAAAATGTTTGATATTTTTTAATGTCTGTCCACAATAATAACAGACAGGCACTTAATCCAAATCCTCATATGCTTTTATTTTCTTCAGCGCTCGTTTTTTATATAAAATTATTCAAATTATTAGTACTATTAATTTTTTTTGTAAGCAAAATCTGTTGATCGGAGTCATAGCTTCTAAAAATGTAAATAGGGCAGGAAATTTTCCGTTTTGCCTACCCTTTCCATTTTACCTTATCTCCTACGACCCCATAAAAATAACTACTACTTAGTTACTAGTACTATTACTAAATATTATGTATTTTAAATTTGCTCTTTTGGAAATAGAATTCTACCACATTTTCTACCTACAAAGAAATTTGGAAAAATTACATTTGGCGTACAAAAAAATATTTAAAAAATGTTTTAACAAACATCAAATTGATAGACAGAAAAAACAGCCGCGTTAAACAAAAACATTGAGATTCAGATCATTTAATAATTTGACGGATATTGTTTTTAGAAAGGGAGTTGTGTATGTACCTACAATTTTTTCTTGCTAAAATTAAAGCGCGACAAATCAATTTCAAACATAAATTATTGTAGAAAGTTTAGGTTTTATGCCTCTACCCTATTCATAAAAAATAATATACATAATATGATTCAGATGATATGGAAAGTATAAAATCTTATCTATCTGCATAATTAGATTTTTTTTCAAAATATGTTTTTAAATAAAATATTTTTTCTGTTAGTTTGAATAAATCTGATTTTTTGTAAAATAAATATTTCAAAAATTCTGTTTGCGATTCGTAAGTATGTCCTATAATGTCAAATTAATTCAAATTTTATGAAAAGCTCTTTGGTCTCAGAAAAGGAATAACGATTTGAGAAATTTTTCATTTTTTTTTCTTTTAATACTTTTTTGTCCAACCAATTAGTACCTACAGTCTTTTGAAGTATATATAAAGGATGGACAAATTTCGATGTTTTTGAGAGAGAAATCTCCTATACCTGTTTGATTCCTGAAAGTCAACTAAGAATAATTAGTATTTCCAGCTCGATTTTCTTCAAAAAATATAAAACGACAACTACATCACGATGAAGGTTGAAAAAGTCATTTCATATTTGAAAACTGTTATTATCCGATAATTTTTAATTCGTAAAATGTTTCATAATTCTTATAAAAATGTTAACGGTGAGGTATGCAGAAATGTAAAAAATAAACTGTAAACAACTATTAAGGAAGGAATTTTCAATGTCATATTTATGACATAATACTGTACATTTTAAGATAATATCTCTTTTCAAATAGGTATACATAACTTTTACTTAAGATTTTAAAAATACTCTGATAAAACTTGTGGAAATTCACACGGACTTTTTAAAGGTGAAAAGTAAAAAGTTATTTTTATTTAATCTCTAAACCATTAACTTCAACACGCTGCAAATTCAGTGATCGATAACACATGCATACAGCTTGTTTTTGATATTATAAGTAAATTTTCATTATGCCCAGAGCGCCAGGGACATACTATGCCCAATGGTTAACAACCCAGAATTATTACATAGATGATGATCGCAATCTGCCTGTATCAAAAATAAGTTCCCTGGAGAATTAGCCAACGATATTACCCTCTAGGTTCAACATCGAGTGACTCCTTCACCATTTTTTGTTTTTAATTTTTAATTGAACAGAATCACAATGTTAGAACCATACATATTTTTAAAATAAGGGCTTAGAAAATCTTACTGTCTGCGGATGTAATTTTCACTAACAAAATTTAACAAATACACTTTACACATAACACAAAATAGAAAAACAAAACAGGAATAAGTTAAAGTAAGTTAAAAAAATAATTTAAAAGAAAGAAAACTTTCAAAATATATTTTCAATATGGGCACTTTCCACCACCACTCACTAGGAAGTCTATTCCTTTGTACACGAAAAAGCATTTCTGGGGTATGTCTAATATTATCACAATGGAAATTAAATCTTTATAGCAATTCATCCCTTGTCTGTACTGGGGTTGCTTCCACCGGGAGAACGTGGTGACCATGAATTGGGCCTCCTCTCCCAATCCATTTATTATTAAATACAATGGATAAATAATTTCATACATCAATATTGAAATGGGGAGGAGCCCTATCTTGCACGAACCAAACGTTTCTTCGGGTGTCTAATCGAACATTATCTAATAGTAGTTGCAAAAACTGTAAAAGTCGATTTCCATTCAGACGTTCCTCAAAATTGTATGAACCTATTAAATTATTACCCTTTTTCGTGTACAACCAAATAACATTCGTAGCCTTAGGATGTGTGTGGAGGTGGAAGGTGTCCATATTGAAAATGTATTTTGATAATTTTCTTTCTTTTAAATTATTTTTTTAACTTTAACTTATTCTTGTTTTGTTTTTCTATTTTGTAATATGTGTAAAGTGTGTTTCTCAAATTTTGTTATTAAAAAATTACATTAGCAGGGAGTAAGGCTCTTATTTTAAAAATACATATGCTTCCAACATAGTAATTAAGTCCAATTAAAATTTAAAAACAAAAAATGGTGGAGGCGCCGCTCGACTGTGACATAAAATCACAAGTATTTCCTAAACTGTTAATTTTACCGAGTTTAACCAAGAGAGTATTATCATTGGCAAATTCTTCAGGGAACTTATTTTTGATACAGGCAGATTGCGATCGTCATCGATGCAAAAATTCTGATTAACCATTGGCGTTCTGGGCATAATGAAGTTTCACTTACATCAAAAACAGTTGTAAACATGTGTTATCGATCACCAAATTTGCATCATGCTGAAGTTAATGGTTTAGAGATTGTAAATAAACATAACTTTTTAATTTTCACCTTCGAGGGCCCGTAACTTGTTAACGAAGATCCATATGAAAGAAATTATATGAAGAACTGATATTATTTTGACCTCATCTATCTGTACCCGACTTTTTTGTATCAAGTACCGGGACACCCTGTATAATTATGTAATAAAACATATTGTTTCTAGAAATGTCAAATTATATTTCTTGTTAAAGTTACACTTTAAGTATTGTAAATATACATATTTCGATTTGTAAATTTAATTGAATGGTTTAAATTTGATTGAACAAATTACTCAAAAAGTGTAAAATTACTGCTTAAGGTACTAGTAACTTAATGTAACTTTACCTAACGCTCTAATGTGTAATTTTATATAAAAGTTTTATGAGTGTTGTTTTAAAAAATACAAAGTACTTTAAAAAAATATCGCCTATTTAAAACTAAATACACAAGACAGTGTAAAATGAAATGCTGAATCATAAATTCATTAGTTTTTCTTTGAAACTAATTTACGTGTGCGTGATCAAATAAGATCATATCATATTAGATTAAATAATTATTATTTTAAACAACTCATATTTGTGCGAACTTAACAAATTCTCTGTTAAGCTACTTCTTAAAAAAACGTGAGGTAGGTACGCCAGTTCCCATTTTTAAAACTTTAATTTCAAAATTGTTATTAATTATACTTGTTATAATAAACATGATATCTGTACACTAAATCTGTGTAGTTGCGTTTAGTTCAGACTTAATAAATAACCGTAATAAAATTGTAGTGATCAGACCAGATCTAGTCGTATTAAGTGTCTACGTTTTGTTTAAGCGGTGTACCAAAAATAAATAGAAGTGGAAACAAAACTTGCTCGTAAAGTAGTAGTTAACAAAGCGGTTGCACGAATACAGCAAATATTTTTTCTTTTTCTGGTCCTGCATATACTTATTAGTAATAGATATTAAAATTGGATAATTAAACCAAAAATATAAATTCAGAAACTATTACACTAAAACGGAAATGGCAAACTTGATTTCTAGAAAATTACAAATTAACCCAACAACACCAATATACTTTCCCATAGGATTTTGGTGCGCTGAATTCGAAATTCGAACTCATAGGGTTTTTGGGCTTAGGATTTTTGAGTTTGGGATTGAGCGTATTAGCCTCTTTTGCGAGTAAATGTAAGTATTTCCAGATTGATAAAATGCGTAAAATATCGGCCATATTTATCGAATTTTTAGACATTTATTTTAAGTTCATTGCAAAATTTGACGTAATAGAGTATTTTGGAGTTTATATTCACAATCAGCGACACCAAGAACATGTAAGATCCCTACTTCCGGGTGCCGATGAATTTAGGTTTGTAGTGCTGTGTTGTCAGTATATTCAAAAATAGATAAATAAGTCAAATTACTAAATTTCAACATGTGATTTCTCAAAGACGAAAAATGATATCAGGACAATACAAGTGCATTTTAAAGAGTATGTAATACTTTAAGACCTCATTAATGGTTTTAGCAAAAAAATTCACTTATCCACGTAATATATCAAAAATCACGATTTTGGCACATTTAGGTTAGAATATCTCAAAAACCAGAGTCAATTTCAGAAATTTGGACCTGGGATTTGAATTCCACGCACCAAAATCCTTCGGAAAACTATATTCTAGTAGTTTCTGGGTTAGGGGGTCGACCAAATTTTGTCGGCCTGTGTTATCAAGAAAATTTTTGGTCAAAGTGAAATTATCTTTTTCCTGTCTTTTAAATAACAAATTTGTTACTTTAGTTTCCTTCTCCTATTAGATGTATTTTCTTGTTTTCCTTTTCTTCTGCCTTCTTCTTGTTTGTATGGTTTTTGAGTTGCTTTATTTAATATATCGTTAATTATTGTTTGTTTATTTATTAGCTTTATATATTTACAAATAAT